GGTTCCTGGACCTCACTATCCCTACTATACTTTTGGAACCCCTTGCAGCCCCCCCCCCCCCCCCCCCTAGGAGACGCACGGTCTCAGACTCGATCTCGGACCCAATCTCGACTTGACTTCGGACTCGACCTCAGACTCGGCCTCGGACCCGATTTGGATCTCAGACTCTCTCTCAAACTCAGTCTCGAACTCGGTCTCCAATTCGGCCTCAGACTCGATCCCGGACTCTATCTCGAACTCGGTCTTAGAGTCGGTCTTTGACTTGATCTTCGACTCGGTCTCATCCGATGAACTCTTTGTCATTTTGGTCATGCTTTCGGGGATCCTTTAGCCTACGACACCTTGGCAAGTTGGTTCCTTACACTTATTCATGCTGTACTTTGAGGATCCGCTTCTCAAGAACCAAGTAAAACCTTTACCTGAGGTTATCCAAGGGGAAGAGGAATACGAAGTCGAGGCCATCCTCAATGCGTGCAAAAGCAAACGACAAGGACGCGAAGTGAGAGAGTTCCATGTGAAGTGGAAAGGATTTCCACACTGCGAAACAACATAAGAACCAAAGGAAAACCTAGCGAATGCGTGAGATTTAGTGGAGGAATTTTTGCAAAGTAGAACTCTATGTACTTATGCAAAATTCAATTAATGTATCAATTTGTGAAGTTGAGCAATGGCATATGTTAGGACCCGAAGGCGCGTCGAAGGTAAGCTAATTAGCATGGGTTAACTAGGTCAACCAACTGTAGGAAACTACGCCCAACTCCCCGTGGGGAAGTCGAATTTGTAGATATATTCTACCGAGGTTGGGTTTGAGTCCTAACCCCCTAGTAAAGCAAGGTTAGGTTCAAGTCCCGACCCCATACTAGGGCATGGTGAGGTGAGGGGTATAGGGAAACCTATATTCTGTTGTCATGGACTCTTGGCCGGGGAGGCTAACTTAGGCATACCGCTAAGTGGGGGGATGCCCCTGGAGACATGGTCAGCAAGTCATAAGATTAAAAAAAGATGTTCAATGTGGGCATCGAACTTCTTCTATGGGTGGTGCAGTTGTAAGGAACCAACTCCTCGAGGTGTCATAGGCTAAAAGATCCCTGAAAGCACGACCGAAATGATAAAGAGTTCATCAGATAAGACCGAGTCTGAGATCGAGTTCAAGACCGACTCTAAGACTGAGTTCGAGATAGAGTCCGGGATCGAGTCCGAGGCCGACTCTAGGACCAAGTTCGAGACAGAGTCCGAGATCCAAGATCAGGTCCGAGACCGAGTGCGAGGTCAAGTCCGAAGTCGAGTCTGAGATCGGGTCCAAGGTCGAGCCCGAGATCGAGTCTGAGACCGAGTTCGAAGTCGGGTCCGAGATTGAGTCCGAGACCGAGTCCGAAGTCAGGTCCGAGATTGAGTCCGAGATCGAGTCCAAGACCAAGTCTGAGTACTAATACGGGTCAAAGGGTGAAAGCCCAAAGCGTGCGTCTCCTAGGGGGGGGGGCTGCAGGGGGTTCCAAAAGTATAGTAGGGATGGGGAGGTTTAGGAATTAGTCTTGAAGGAACTCTCTAATGGTGTTTCTAAACTGGCTTGAGGTTGAGACTGGGACCAAGGGGCCTTGGGTGGGAGTGAGTATGGACTTGGGTGGTGCCGAGGGGCCACCCAACGAAGTGCTCAAAAGCAACTTTCACTCTTGGAAGGGAAACTGACTATGGTGCTCCCATGTGGAGTGGTGCCCACTTGAGTACCTTGCGGTTCATTGGTCCTCGCCCTTCCTAGGGGCTTAGGCCTTCCCTTCGGGATGGAAGTGGGGGGGCAGAGGTACCTATACCGAGCCATTAGGCCATGGTATCTCGCCCCGGCATCCCAAAACAAGTGTTGCACCCAAGGCTTGGGATTTAGAGGGTCCCATGATCAAGTCTTGTTGTACCAAAGGGTGTTAGGAACCTGGAGGCTTGGTGTTCTTGGTTGCTTGTGCCTGCAGGGAGTGTAGCCGAACCTTAAGTCCAGTCTAACCCGAGGAGGGGGATTGGGAGAGATTATGGAATCTGTGGATGGATGGCTAACACTCCATTTCTCGTGCAGTGAATAGCTGAAACTAAGTAGGACCAAGTAGGAGCTGGTACAATAGACGGGAACCTTGGCGAAGGAACTTAGCAAAAACCAAGGCAGTGTTGATCAGATAGACAAGGTAAGCTGGCAAATTGGAAAGTTAAAATTTGTGGCTTACAGTTATCAATGGAATTCTTAAAACCATCATAAAGCTTTTAGATCTATAACTCAACTCTTTAAGCTTCATAAACATCATTTGGAAAAAGCAAATCCAACTCTACACCTTATAGATATTAAATATTGAGCATAATAACTATTTATAGTATAGAATATTTATTTAGAAAATCCATTAACATTGAAATAATAAGCTCTTTTAGAACAAAAGAAGAGGGAGATAGAGTATTAAAATTAACTATTGAACATTTAGGGTGATGAACAACCTTTCAGTTATAGATTTGAAGCTTGAAGACTTACTAAATAGTATGGCCATTAAATTATTTTTCTTAAAAAATGAAGTGATTGCAATATAATTTACCTCCAATAGCATCCAAGAACTATATAAATATATAGAGCTTTTCAAAACCCTAAATTGTTGTAAGCAACCAAAAAAAGCAATTTAGAAAACAATCTTTAAATATAAAGGCTCATGAACAAGAGTGCATCTTATTTTTCAATCAGTTAACAATCTTTAGATATTTGGGGTTAAGTGTCTTTGAGTTTAAATAGTATTAGATTATACACTAGCCAGAAATGCTATCTTACATTAATAAGCCCCCAAAACTAACAACAAAAGTAAAAAGTGAGAGGAATGGAAAAGCTATGAAAAAATATAAGATAAAAGGGGAAACCTTAAAGTCACATTTCGTTGAAATTTGGAAGAAGCATTAAAAGCTCAAAGAGTAACTCACTACAAGCCATTCTTGGTATTGATAATTAACATATATGGCTTTTGCATTTATATAAGTGGTTATAATTGGATTAACAATAAATGTTTAAAAGTGTTATATGGATTTGGATCTTAATTATGTCATAGTTATTATCTAAATCTTTCTTATTCTTGTAGCTTTTCCAATTCTTTTGATTTTCCTCTTCTTTTCATTCATTTTTATAGTAGAATAGCATATTCTTCCTTTGTAATAGTCTCTTTTTCTTTATTAACAACTAAAAACAATGATTTGAGAAATTAAAAAGAAAGGGCCTATGAATAAAATATTTATCAATTGGTTAAGGGATATTTGGGGTTAAATATCCTCAAATTTAAATAATATTAGGTTCGGTGGAAATCCAAATTTAAAAGTTTTACATTTAGTATTAAAGACATTTCAGGTTCGACTCTATTAATTGGTTGAAAGAATCACATCAAGAGTAGGGCTCTTGAAAGAGTTGGGGTTCTCAACTTCTATTTATGAGGGTGTGAACTTGCAAGGAAAAATGATGGATTATAAGAAATTAAAGAACATAACTTGAAAAATATTTTATTAGGATTAATATATAAAGGGAAAGAAAGGATTTTGGGGTATTTAAAATTAAACATTGAATAATACTAGATTGGGTGATTTTTTAGGAAGTCCAAATTTAGGGGCTAGGAAAATTTAAGATGATATATACTATTGATTTTATCACTTTATAATGATTGCCATTTATCATGCAAATGATGCCTAATACCTATACAAATTTCCCACTTATCTTCACAGGATAGCATTGCAATGATATAATGGTTTGAGTATAGCTATCTATACATATTAGAGTCTTCTTCTGAATATCTTCAAAATGCATATTGGAAATGCTAATAATTATAATGATACCTTTTAACAATTGCATAGTCTCCATCAAAAGTCATTTGAGTATATTATATAAGTTCAATGTTTGCTTCCAGACAAAGCCTCTTACTTCATGTAGAGTAAACAAATTACGTTGAGAGCACAATATTACAAGACATCATCTCTTCCACTTATATATGTGGGATGAAATAGATTTAGTTATATATATGATCAAATAAAGTTTTTGACCTTATCCTTTCCATGGATTGGTTGTAGCACAATCATACTAAATATTGAGTCTTCAGAATTGTATCCCCAAAAACTAAAGTTCAAGATATTACTCTATATATAATATTAATACAAAAATAAACTATTTTATAAATTTATCAATATGCTCCTAAAGAATATAAATGCTTTGTTTGACTTTACCCATAAAAATTATACTTGGTCTTTTAAAAAACCATATCACAATGTGTAAGTCACAAACTTTCCTTATCATTTAGATTAGAAGAGAATAGGCTAAATAAAAATAAAACCATTTACTTATTTTTATGGTGATTTTAAATATATAAAAACTAGATATTATTTTATTTGCAGTAAAAACATGACTTTAAATGAAGAAGAATGTGGAATGATTATAGATGGTTTTAAAAATATGAATTCAAAAATTTAGAATATTATCGATCAGATTATGAAAAAACAGTATCATACGATTTTAAAGGAGGTGTTTCTATTTTAAAAAGTCAAATATTTCTTCAAGTTCTTCAACTTTCTTACCAATACCTTTTGATGGAAAATACTGTAAATCATGTATTTAAATATATATTAGATATATATGATATACATTCAATTTCAAGTTCATGTAAAAGTACTTCCAAGACTTGAAAATGATATTTTAAAAATCTTTAATATTTAATAACGAGCTAATTAAGAATCTAGTAAAACTTCATAGTCTTATTTTATACATTCCACATGAGTATTTTTGCTAAGTTGACTATTGAGTAGACATGGTTTATATGCACCCACCCAACAATATTTGAAAGTTGAATTTGTATGTCTTAGAATAGTTATTTATTCATTATTATAATAAGTTAGATCCACTTATAAACTATTATTAACCATATTGAAGTTTCACCATCGCGGTGGTCGCCTGCTACAATCCCCGTCTGGAATCGCGTGGTTCATTGGTCCTCGTGAGCGTCACGTCTTTGATGCACGCCGCTCGTCCGAGCGCTCGACACCGGCAAGAGTGCAATCAAGAGAGTATCAAAGTCTTTACTGTAGCGCGAAATTTGGAAAAGCCCGCGAAGAATTTGGCGCTTAAATTCCTCCCTGGGTCGAGCGAGGGAAAGGGCTTTGCTCTTCTTGGGCTAGATCTAGATAGAGAGGAAGCGATGGTGGCGACGCTCAAGCCAGCGCGATTCTATGGAGACGCAATGCCGCGGCCTCACATCTACTATGGTACGTATCTCAACACGGAGCGCGTAGATCCTCCTCCGCCGGTGAACGAGGCGCTACTCCAGTGGGCCAAGGACGCACACTGGTCCATGGGCGGCCTCTCTTCCAAGCGCACGAGAATGCAGGGCAAGATCGAGGGCCGGATTAGCAAGCTTCGATCTGAGGAGGACGAGGGGGCCAAATTGCCGGCGCCCAGCTCCAGCAACGAGAAGAAAAAGAGGAAGGGAGTAGTCGATGATGGTGGTCGAGAAGAAGAAGTTCCTTTGCCAAGTCCCGCCAATGATGCTCGAGGAAGTGGTCGAAAGTCGAGAAGGAAGCTCAGGAAGAAGAGTCAAGTCGCTGCCGCCGACGAGGAGGCTGGTGTCCCGGATCCTCCGAGCTCTAGCCCCGAGAACGAGAGTGGCGAAGGCGATCTTCGTGCAAATCCTTCTTCCAGCAGTCCAAAGAATGGTGAGAGCTCGTCGCCACCACCCAGACGGAGTTCTCGGATTAGCTCCCGCCGCAACACTACGTAATGTTCACAAGCACGCTCAAGTCGTTAGTTTTCAAAGATGAAATGGACAATCTACCAGTGTAGTCGATTGTTGTAACATTCCAGATCTTTCCTCTGTAGTCGATCGTGTTCTCCTGTGAGAATAATGGAGTTAGACCGAGAACGATAAACTCATACTCTACCTCGAGTTTATAGAGTTCCAGGAACGTTCTGTAAGCTTTGAAGCTCCGCGATCAGCTTGTGTAGTATTTCCTTTTGGCGGGGAGATTCTTGCAGCAAAGCTATTCCTTCTCGTATCTTCGTCACGGCAGCAGTGGCTTCGTTCCCCTGTTCCTGTTTGGCTGTGCCAGTTTGTCTAAGAAGCTTGTCTTGCGAGGCTCTCTGTGACTCGCACTCTTCCCTGAGGAGCTCGAGATCGCCATCACTCATGCTCAGCGCTGTTCTGTCCGTGGCTTTCTCGAGGAACAAGCGGACTGCTGCCATGAAGCCGTCCTCCATGACCGTGTCCCCGGAGGAGTCGAATGATAGAGCAGCGTCGGCTGGAAGAAACCTCCAGAGATCGTTGCATGAGGTTGTCGCAGCAAACTCGCTGAATGATGTGAGGCCGGCGTGAACCAGAGCCCAGTGTTTCTCCGCCAGAGCCAGATGATAAAGCTTCCAGATGGCCTGGATTTGAGAGTCCGGCTCCTCTTCCTGGAAGGTAATGTCGGCCAAGCTTGTCAAAAGCTCTGGGAGATGAATCTTCAACTCCGGTCTGTCTTCGAGCTGCTCGTGATGCGATGATAGCTTGTCCTTTAACGTAATCACAGCGTTCTCAATATCCGAATCACTGAACACCGCCTTCAACCTCGCCAAACCGAGTACTGCTTTGCTCAAGAGTGGACTTCCAACCGCTGCTTTGTCTATGATGCTGAGTAACAGTTTTGAGATTTTGTTTGAAACGTCACGTTGGAAAGTATGGCTGAGAAAGCTTGTGTTAGTACGCCATCAGAAAAAGTAAGAGCTTTTTACCTCTCAGACGACAAGTCGAGCAGGATTGAAAGAGCCTCCTCTTTTGTGGGGAAAGAATTGGAAGAAATGACGTCCAAAGCAGCACGCACTTGTTCCAGCGCAATATTTTTCGGAATAGCGAAACCTCGTCGTAGAAGGAGTGAAGCAATCACTGCGGAGGACTTCGCTGTGAAGACATCTCTCTTGAAAACTGAAGACGTCAGCCTGGCTCGTACCGAACCCGGCGCAAACTTTGCCAACCGGCAAATGAGTCTGGCGAAGTCTTCAAGAATTTCGGAATGCATGTCTCCGTAGCTTGAAGACGACAAATACCGATATAGTGAGAGTAGAGCCTCCAGGTGAGCCTGACAGAGCTTCTCGTTTCCGACTTTAAAAATAAAGCTCCAAAGATCTAGCAGCAACTCTCGGCAAATCGAAAACCTGTGAATTGCGTTCCGGAAAATGAAGCGTTCCACCTCCTCCCATACCTCCACTTTTGAAGCAGCAGCTAATACAAATGCTTCCAAAGCTTGCAAGACCGACAGATAAAGCAGTTGCATTCCTGGCTTGGCGTCGATCGATACCAGGGCCCTCTGCTGGAGTAGCATTGCATGAAGAGGCATTTCTGACAGCCTTTCCAGCAACCAGTCGAGCTTTCTTGAGAGTTGAAATAGAACGTCCGCTTGAAATTCCCTGGATAGTTGCAACAGTTGGATAAAAACAACAACCTCTGCCGCCGACGAGTATCTCTGGCAACTAGCAGCTTCACCAAGGACATTCACCACCATGTCTTCCAGCTGAACGTCTCCGTTCGTGATATACTCGATAAGCTCTCTTTTTGAGTGAACCTGGATTTTCTCGGAGCTGAGAAGCGTGTGAAGAAAAGCGAGCGATGGCGGAGCAACTTGCACAGAGAGATCATTCGATATGGTCTCCAGAAAAGGCTGGCCATTTTCCAGAACCAGGAGTAACGCTGAGATGTTTATGGAGAACCCCGCAATCGCTTTCTGCACCAACACTGCTTCCGAGAGATAAGCACGAGAAATACGAAGAGCATGGACGACGTAAAACTTCACCATAACGAGGTGCTGACTTTTCAGGTTGCCAGAGGTGTCGTCAAGTAGAGACTGTGTAGGCCTGAGAGCCAGTGTGAGCCACTCTGATGCCAGCGACAAAAGTGTGGATATAATGTTGGAAATACTGATGCTTCCGGCTGCAACATTGTGAAACGCTTCCATTTCGAGAAGTCGTGCTGCAACCCTCCATGACACGCTCACCAAGCCGGGGGCTGCCGCTTTCGCCCCAATCTCAACCAAAGCTTGCAGCACGCAAGCATAAATCTCGTGCATGCCACTGCTTAAGCGAGTGGTCGTAAGCTTCTTCAGCACAGTATCTGTCATCAGCTTCAGAGACGTAGAGTGTGCCAATTGAATCTCCTTTGAAGCATCTCGGAACGTCTAGGTGATAAAAACAAAGGAACTCAAAACCCGAGAGCATGAAAAACATTACCTCGGATAAAGACGCCGTTTTGACGAAGCGCAAGTAGTTTTCTAAGAGCGCCTTAAACGTGATATCGGGTTCGCACAATAGAAGATCGGACTGGGAGAAAAGAGCCGAGATCAACCTTAGAAGCGGCAACTGCGCCTGCAAGGAAAAAATAAAATAGAATAAGCGAGACGAGACGTCCAAGCTAGGTAGAAATCTAGTCTCACCGTTTTGGCACATGAATCATCAGCAAACCATGCGCAAGCCTGACAAGAAAAATAGGAACAAGAAGAAAAATGAACTGGGATGCTTACCTCACTGGCGATTTCACCATACTTCACGAGCAGTGCTCCATTGTTCTCATTTGCAGAAATCTGTGACGAAGCAGCAGCAAGGATTTCTAGACGATACTCGAGTTCTTGACTTTGAGACATCTTCCAAGATTTCTGGAGAATATTGAAAAGAATTAGACTGCAAACTAAGCGAATAAATTACTTACAAAAAGAGCGATGGCGACGGATCGAGCATAATCGGAAGAAATGCCGCTTGTTTCAAGCAGCTTGAACAGCGCAATCCGCTCCTCCACGATCTGTGGCGCCAGATCAAAATGCGAGCTGGAAGAAATGTGGATCATACCTCGGATCGCTCCAGCGCCTCGAGTAGATCCATCACAAAACCCTCCTTCCTCCTTGGAGAAATTCAAATGAATGATACGTTTTAGGGTTTTAGTTTTAGGGTTTATGGGTTTGTGATGGATCCTCAGTCGCTGCTCTTCTCTGGAGTGCGAATCGACAAGAAGCGATTCTCAGCCGACATCGCCCGATTCGAGGTAAGCTTCTTACAATCCTTCTGTAGGGGCGGTAAGTAAATCACAATGTTCCACAGAAGAAGAGAAAATCCGACTTCTCAAACGCAAATGGAGGTTAGTTTCTATAACATGAAAGTATATGTTGTTTACTTCTTTTCTTTAGACAATGCTGGAGAGGATCTAGAGCTAAAGGTGATACATTCATCCATTTCGCTAACACTCTCACTCATAGAGAATTGCTACAGGACATTCCGTCGCTGAAGAAAAAACTTAAGATACGTGCTGCCGGTGATAATGTTCCTCAGCCTCTCAGGAGTTTCCAGCAGCTTAGCTCGGAGTATCCTTCAATCCAGACTGTTAGAATTTGGATTTCTTATGAATTGTAGATACGACTGTGAGCCAAATTTGATGAAAAACTTGGTGGAAGCCGGCTACAAGGAGCCAACACCAGTGCAAAGGCAAGTTATTCCGGTTCTCCTTCAGGTAACGAAAACAAATCTGATTATTTCTATCCTGTTTACAGGGTTTTCTCTTTTTAGGAACGCGAATGTTTTGTCTGTGCTCCTACTGGTTCTGGCAAATCTTTGGCATTCATTCTGCCGATCTTAATGAAACTGAAGGTACCAGGTTCTTACTTGATACTAGATGAAGTGCTGAATCTTGTTCACTTTGTAGAAGTCGAGCCCAGATGGTATCAGAGCAGTGATCCTGTGTCCTACACGCGAGTTGGCGGCACAGCTTATCACGGAATGTAGGAGGCTAGCAAATGGCAGTAAGATCCGTGCGAGATTGCTGACAAAAAGGCTTTTTAAGAACCCGGATTTTGCTAGCCTTCGCTGTGATATTCTAGTATCAACGCCTTTACGCCTGGATAAGCTTGTCAAGTCGGAAAAAATCGATTTAAAACGGTATGCTTTTCTCTTTTAGTTTAAATGGTGTTTACTTGTTTCCCCCAGTGTCGAGTATTTTATCCTGGATGAATCCGACAAGCTTTTTGAGCTTGGATTTATGCAGCAAATCGATTCTATCGTGAGCGCCTGCACCCGGACAAACATTGTGAGAGCATTATTCAGTGCAACACTGCCTGAGACAGTGGAGGAACTTGCAAGAACCATTATGCACGATGCCATTCGTATCGTGATCGGAGAAAGGTGACATTTGGAAAACCACCTAGTTTACTTCAAATGTCAGGGGGTTTAACAGTAAGCGATGCAGGAATTCAGCTTCTGAGACAGTCCAGCAGAAGCTCATGTATGCTGGTAACGAGGAAGGCAAGTTGTTAGCCTTGAAACAATTCTTCAAGGAGGTAATTTCTGTGACGAAGTTCTCCCTTTTGCTCTTTTATACATCCGTGTTTACATAGGGGCTTTCACCACCGATCATACTCTTCGTGCAATGCAAGGAACGGGCAAAACAGCTTCATAAAGCTTTGTTGTCAGAGAAGCTTAGAGTGGACAGTATTCATGCCGATCGCACGCAAACACAGGTTTAGTTATTATCTTCTTCTCTTCTTTCTTTTGGAAGTAACGTTTTTTTTTTAGCGTGAGATTGCTGTCCTCAACTTTCGAACTGGCAAGACATGGATTCTCATAGCAACAGATCTAATGGCACGAGGAATGGATTTCAAGGGCGTGAACTGGGTCATAAACTACGATGTTCCCCAGGATACAACAGTGTACATTCATCGCATAGGTAACTATATTTCCACTTTTCAAGTTCACTTCATAAAACCAGCTTTCGTATTGCAGGACGCAGTGGTCGAGCTGGCCGGCCAGGAAATGCTTTGACATTGTATGCCGAGGAAGACGTTCCACTGCTGCGGTCTATCGCCAACGTCATGAAAGCTTCTGGCTGTGATGTGCCCGAGTGGATGCTTTCCTTGCCCAAGATTCGCAAAAGGAACCAGAAGCGTATCCGGCGACAACCAGTGGGAGCTAGCGCGTGAAGACTCGTAAGTTCTCCACTCTTTTAAGCTTCTGCAGAAAATAAATAACCAACGTTCCAGGAAAACATCGAGAAGTCACCTGGTTGAGAGTACCACTGAGGCAACAACAGCCTGCAGAACAAAGATTCTCGCAGCGTGTACCGCACAAACTGGACTGGCCTCGGAAGTCTTGCTCAAGCTCCTCAAAAGAGATTAGCATATTCACAGGTCTTAAATGTGACGAGTTGCTCACTCCAATAAGCTCGCGCACCAACAAGTGCTCAAAGGCCCACTGCGAAACTTTTTAGGAAATTGAAAACCTTCCTTTTCCAGTGATACTCAATCTATCATTAGCGAGCAATTTCAGGGGCTACCGGGCTACCAGCAAGTGAGAAAATTGTCGGGGAATGTTTTGGTGTTGTTGACTTCGTGATATTGTAAGAAGTCCAACAGATTCCGAAAGCTACATATAAAGAATTTTACTTACACTGAGTCAATATTATGAGATCCAGTGCAATTACCGAGATTTTTGCGTTAAAAGCTTCGGCATACTAAGCCCAGGTTTGCAGTTGGATCGACTCGTGAATAAGCTGGTTAGCCTCTCTTTCTTGTGAAATGGGAAGTCCCTTGTGGGGACCACGAAACTGGAATAACTAGCACCGTTTCTAGAAATCTGACGAGGAATTGATGAAAAGGAAAGCTTGCCTGGTGATCTCTTCACTGGAAGGAAAAAGCAAAGGGATCATGTCTTACAAAAAACGAGATCTCACTTGAGTTGATTGGCAGGAAAAAGAGTTTTTTTTGCGAAAAAAGATATGTACCAGTATGAATTGTAGCTGCTTGGGAAGAGGGCGACTGCAATAGATCCAACAAGTTGTACAGAATTAGGGACTGCTTTGGTTTCTGCAAACCAAGAGACAAGTTAGATGCAAGAACTAGTTTCAACAACAACAAACCTGCGTAGAAAGATCGAATTTGTCCAGAGCAAGAGCAAAGGGCATCGTGAGAAATAGAGAGAACTGCCTGCAAAGACATCCCAGTGTCACACAGTATCACAGAGTCATTTTCTGTGTCAGTAGAATAGACAAAATTTAGACAAAATAAAACCATGTACCTCATTTATACTAAAAGGTAGAAGGTAAAGAACGCTGTCAATCTTTAAGATCACTTTGTGTTTCTAAAACCAAAATCTAGGGTTCTAGCACGATGCGTGCCTTGGATCTATGCAGCTAGCATGGCAGTCCCTGACGAATCCAGCCTCGCCGGCTGCGTCGCCCTCATCAAATCCTGCCGGAATCTTGCCGACGCCGAGCGAGCGCACGCCCGGATCCTCGCCAGCCCATTCCTGAGCAGCGATCGCCGCTTCCTCTCCAATCTCCTCATCGAGATGTTTGGGAAATGCGGCGCCACGGCCCAGGCCAGGCGTGTCTTCCGCGGCATTTGCTCCAAGAACACCTTCTCTTGGGCGATGATGCTCTCGGCACACGCCCAAAATGGCGAGGTCTCGGCGGCGAGGCAGATCTTTGAGGCAATGCCGTGGTGGAATCTGGTGTCGTGGACTGCCATGCTTACTGCCTATACCCAATTCGGGCATCTAGACCGAGCTAAGAAGCTCTTTGATTCGATGAGCGAGCGTGATGTTGTCGCTTACACAGCAATGATCTGCGCTTTTCTTGCCGATGAGAGAATTACCGACGCGGAGCAACTCTACGAAGCAATGCCAGAGAGGAATCTGGTAGTTTGGACTGCAATGATAACAGCATATGCCCGGCTTGGGTATCTTTTTAGAGCGGAAAAGATATTCAACCAAATGCCCGAGCGGGACGTTATCGCTTGGAATGCCATGGTCGCTGCGTATGCACGGGAGAGATCGCTCGGTCGGGCGTTAGAAATCTTCCAAACCATGCCTGAGAGAGATTCCGTGTCGTGGAACGCGCTCTTATCAGCATATGCCGTTCAAGGGCATCTAGAAGCCGCTAAGGAAACGTTCGATGATATGCCAGAGAGGGACATTGTCTCGTGGAGCTGTATGCTCTCGGCTTATACCTTGAATGGGCATCTTGAGAAAGCTAGCGAGCTTTTTCACAGGTCTCCAGAGTGGAGCGTCGTTTCGTGGGCTTGTATGCTCGACGCTTTCTCGCAAAAGGGTCTCCTGGAAGACGCGAAGTCGGTGTTTGATGTTATGCCCGAGTGGAATCTCGTGGCTTTTAACACGCTGTTGGACGCTTACGCTCAACATGGCGATCTTCAGAAAGCCAAGAACACGTTTGATTCTTTCCCGGAGAGAGATGATATCTCCTGGACTGCTTTGCTCAATGCTTATGCTCACCATGGCCATCTCTGGAAAGCCAAGGACTTGTTAGAAGTGATACCACAAAAGTACGAAGCTCCGCCGTGGAACGCAATTTTAGCTTCGTTGGCTCGAAATGGTCACTTCGATGCGGCGCTGGAGCATCTTCACGAGATGGAACTCGAAGGAATTCCAGCCGACGAAGCGTCCTTCGCTTGCATCATTCTCGGTTGCAGCCACAAGGGAGATCTCCACGATGGCTGGTCAAAAGTCCGGTCCCTCATCCTCGATCATAGTGTCCGGCTCACCAAGCAGCTATACTGCTCCATCACTGACCTGTTGAGCAGGGCTGGATACTTGCGAGAAGCCGAGGAGATTTTGTCTGGTATGCCTTTCACCCCGGACGTTGTCGACTGGAGATGTCTTCTTGGTGCGTGTAAACGCCAAGAAGATACTCAAAGTGGAGCACAGGCTGCAAGGCAAGCTCTTGTGGCGAGTCCCGAAGATCCATCTTCTTGCGTACTGCTGGCCAACGTTGTCTCTGTATAGAATTGCTCGAGCGCTTTTACTGTTTCGTGAACTTGTCCACAGGCTTTGTAGTGCCTAAAATAAAAGGCAGCGTGAAAACAACTAGATAGAAGACCGGATAAACGTTCTTTCAGCATCACTAGCTTGACCTTGCTCCTTCAATAGAACTCCCTGATAAATATTATTATTATTATGCCCAACTAGGAGCATAAGATCGATGTATTTGGTGTAAGAAAAATACACCTGAATAGGGACTTACAAACCTTGGCCAAGTATCATCCAGACGACTTTTTATCAAAGCATCATAAATGGTTATGCATCCATCAGACAATTCCACACAGACTACGTTTTTCCAAGCAGGAGATCAACCTGTGAAAACAATCTCATGAGTTCAAATATTATATCAAGCATTCAGTCCTCAACTGAAGCACATTGCCTTGAACATCATTCTGCCTTTAAAATTAACCATGCAGGATGTTATCTCTTGGAATGCCATTGTTAAATAATAAAAAATAAAAACACACAATTACTATGATTTCATGATAAGAAACAATATTCCATTAACAAACACTACATTGAGAGCTAAATACAAAATATTTAATCCACCCTATCATTACTACTTTCTTATGCTATCATATTGTCCATTTATAAGTAGTATATTGGCATCATGAAATTTAAAAGGATATTAATTGTAGGTAGTATATTGGTCATCATGAAATTTGATAGAGACACTGTTACTGATTGTCACACTAATGTTAATATATTTTTCTCATCACCAATGCATTTCAACACTTCTTGTAATATATGTAATCATGGGATGAGATTTAGACTGTAGATCTTTAGAACTTTGGGGGATATATAAAGATAAACTACTTGCTAAAGGTTATTTTATCAAATAATTACCCTTTTTCTAAAAGAGACATAAATTATTTTATATAAGTATCAAAGAAGATGGCACAAGTCTGATTCCCATTTATTAGTTTTGAGTAAAGTAAATTCCCACCCCTAAAATTGAAATCATACACATTGAGCATATGCAGACAAAGGGATCTATTATGGGATTACAGAATATTAATAAATGGTTAATGAAGACATTAACATAGAGAGGATGAGTATAGCACATAAACAATAAACATCTAATTCCTTTTACTAGGTTATTACTTCTCAACTTAAATACAAGTAAATTAGACAAGAAACTCTTCTCTTCAAGATTGGAGGGAGCTATAACAATATTTAACTTTGTCTATAGTGGTTTTATACACTTTAGCAAACTTATCTCTAGTTTGTTACATTGTCATGTCTCAACTAACACTCTACATCACTTTAGCCTCTCATGCCACTTCTTTAGTGCTAATATACCATCACCAAGTGCCCCCTATCTTGTTTCTAGGGCACTATTGGGTTGGAATCTTCAGAATCACCATATTTGCCCAATGAGGAAATTGTGGTAGGGCAAATTGGATTGAGTAGAAGGCTATATTGAAATTATAATGCCATGCCTCCACCTTCTTCCCATGCTAATAAAGAGTTTTTTTTATGGCTTTTGCACATCATTTAGGTTGCTACCTGAAGAACCTTCTTTTTAGCCACTATCAATATAAGTATGTGCTAGCCCCACCTCAATTTGTGTGGATGCTTTAATGGAGAGTGCTTAGGTAATTAAAAGGTGGTGAATATACAATGATGAGGTGTTGTGTTGCTCTAGCTAGTCTATCAAGTGCCTCACTTGAGAGTAGCAAATGCAATACCAATTTACCAGCCAGTGATGCCAAATTCAGCTAGAGAGCATCCTAATGTCACTCTTGATATGAAGGCCAAGTGCCTATTCTACAAGCCAATATGAAGGATGGAAACAAATCTTCATAGTCTATGTGGTGACAACAGATACTTTTGTGGGGCAAGTGTTCAGAGTTACAACTTTTAAGGGCCCCCTTCTTCACTTGGGCATTAAGAGCTTGTTGCACTATTATGATGACCAAAAGATATCTCCCACTTGTTCTTTCACAATTTTTGCTCCTAATTAGGAGCAAAATGAAAGACGTGGTTGTAAATGCCCTCTTTCTTTATACAAATGATGGTTTGCAACTAGTGGGGACATGTTACAATGTCCAGCATGCTCTTAGAGCAACTTGGAGGTCTTTACCACCAACTTTGACCTCCAAATGTATCACTAACATATGCCAAAGTGGTAGTGTGTCTAGAAGGCTTGTTCTTCCATATAGCCATTCAAAGCCAATTTGCTCATCCAAACTCTTATAGGCCACTTCTCCATCTAATAAGAACTAGAGAGTATCTTACCTCTATTGCAAGAGTTACCTACTTTAGGCATCTATTAGGAATTATCTTTAATCTAGGATGTTGCTTTTTTATAGAGTAAGTTTGTTTATTTAAACTTTAGCTGGTTACTTCTCTACTTAAAGGCCATTAAAGGCTTTTGTCTTGGGAGAAATGGCCACTATGTTCATTGTTGTAACATGTATCTAGATGGGTAATTATGTTTAGTCATATGTTTTCTAGTTACAACAATAGTAGATTCTGACCAATTTTTTCAAGCTGTATCAAGCTCCAATACTTAGATTTTTAATTCTTTACTTTTTAGCCTTTTTAGGAGCTTTGGTACATACTGTTATAGCATGTGTATTTATGCCACTATTATAGAGTATGATTTATTTAAGATTTACTCATAGGATATTGGCTTATTTGTGGCCCAAGTATAGGAGTTTGTAAAACTTTTTTGATGTTAGGGGGAGTTTGGAGGATATAATTCAACCATTTAAGTGAAGCATCTAGAACATGACTAATACTTATTAGACTCCTGCTTTAACCACTACCATATGGCACACTTTGGGGCTTAGGGATTTGTGTCTCATACTACTCCTTAGAAGGTTATCTGAGTAAAGCATACTACCATCATTTTCACATTATTGATATATGGTTGCAAAACATTTCAATTTACTTATAACCTAATAATGAAGCAATAAGTTGTTTCGAGTCAAATCCTTTTGAAAAGCTTATGATAACAAATAACATGTTTAGACCAAAAGTTCCGACTTGAAAAGTCGAAAGTGGGAGTGGAACTCCCAACAAAGTGCTCAAGGAATAAACATAAAGCAATCGATGAATAAATCTCTAAAAAGGGACATAAAAAAAATTGACATATAATAAGTGTTATGACACGTGGAAGTTTTGGGACTAAGTCTAAGATGGAATCTGAAATGGAGTTCGAGATAGAGCCCCAAGATGGAGTTTGAGATGGATCTGAGATGGAATTCAAGATGGAGTCGGAGATGGAGTTTGAGATGGATCTAAAATGGGGTTCAAGATGGATCCGAAATGGAGTTTGAGATGGAAAATTGGGTTTGAGACCGAGACTGAGTTTGAGTTTGAATCTGAGTCCAAGTCTAAATCCGAGTTTAAGACTAAGTCGAAATATTAATACAAGTCATAGGGTGAAAACCCAAAGTGATCATCCCCCAAGGGTGGGGGGGAAGGGCTATGGGGGGTTCTAAAAATATAGTAGGGAGAGTGTGGGGGTTGGATTTTAGTGGAACCAATTTAGCAAAAAAAGGTTAGTGTGATCCAAGAAAGCTACACCCACATGGTGGGTAATGATATAACGACTAAGGAATCCAAAATTAGAGTGAACATAGATAGATAAGTAGGGTAACTTAGTAAAGTGTTCAAAAGTAAACTTTAGATTGAATAGTCAATACTCCCAATCCAAGTATAGATGGCACTATTTATTTGGATACCTAACATTTCTAAATTCTAGACTGTGGAAAAGAAAAAGAATAATCCTTTTGTGTAGTGACTAAGGATACGATCATATGGTAATATTAGCGAGCACAATCGTAGACAAAAAAGAATTTAGTGGGGACTAAAGAAGGGATATTGAGAAGGATGGATGGCTTAGTGTTTGAGAAAAGGGACTATGGCATGGGTGGTTTTGGATTATTAATGAGATAAAGGTAAATGGATATAGGTTTAGCATAACAAATTAATATGTCATTAGGATTGAACACATAGAGCACTTAGATTAAGTGTAAAGGCTGAGTGGCATAAATGCCATTTATAGAGTTAGTATGTCCCTAAGTTGGGAATAATACTTATAGAGGTTGTGAGTAAGATTCTTTCAAATGGTTAAAGGTATAGTTAAGTGATTAAAGTAAAATGGAAAATTTAGTTGCTTACAAGTAAATGAAAAGCTCAAAGATAAACTACTTTTGTGACATTGCTATATATTTTTGGGCATAGTACTCCTCACTAGGTAATATTAGTTTATACATTTCTCTCTCTATTATGTTTCTTGCTCCAAAAGTGAATATAAGAGAAAATGTCCTTGACTAGGGGATATGGATGCTCCATATATACCATGTAAACAAAGAGGGAAAATATAGATATAGTGCTTTATCAACTACTTTAAAGTATATTATGTTGCGTCATTAGTAATAAAAAAGAGAAAGCAATAAGTAGATGATAAACAAAAAGAAGAATAACTTAGCTTAGCTTATGAAACTATTGATGGGCTATATTGATAAATTAAACTGTAAATGCCCAATCTATATTGTGCTAGTACTTACTACTATCTCCAAGAGGCATACACTATAAATAAAAAAAATTGAGTTATGATTATACTTAGTACTAATGTCTTGATATATTATATGGATATTGGCATTAGCTTATGTGAAGTTACTTAGTCTAAGCTATATTGAAATGATTATGAATAAGACTCTAGCTAACTTACATTCAAATGTGATATCAAGACAAAGAAGGTAGTAGTTAATAAGACCCATTGTCTTATCAATTTCTCTTTTATATATGGTGACACTTATCAATATGCCTACACACAAATATTAGAGTTAAAAGTTTTAAATAAGAAAAAAATTAAAGAAATTAAATTTAAAGATCCACTCACTTTAAAAAAGAAACATTCCCCTGAGAATTGTTATATCACTAGCCTCACACTAGCTTATAAAAATGGGAGTATTAAAATTAAATACCAAAAAAAATAAAACATTTCAAAAATAAAACAAAAGTTTTATTAACTTTTAGACTTTCATATATTCTTGTAATCTTGAAAGCAATTCTAGTATAAGAACCAAGAACTAATATGACATCAATTGGATAAAAAAATTATTCCAACTTTAACTTTAGAAACATATATAAGTAGAACCATCTAAAATGTTTATACATCTTTCGCCACCATCTCTTTATCATTTATACAATATGAAGAAACTTATAAAAATTACATATTTTTTATATAATTTAGAATTAAAATAACATATTTAATTATATGTTAAGGGTCCTTAAATGAAAAATGTTTGCTCCAAACTTTATAAAATGTTTATATCTTATGTGATGAGATTAAATTTAGATTAAGTGTTGAGTAGATCCTAAAATATTTTAATTCTAAAATATTCTATTACCATTGGGATTGCATTGAGCACATTATCTATTAATTTGATTTAATTATTTAATCAAGATAATTGTTTTTATAAAACTTTTGTTGTTATTAACCATGGTTTTTAAAATTTGGCTACTAAATGCCAAATTCTGTCACATAATATATATTTCATCAAAGCAAGCTTGAACAATTTAAATTCATTAAATATAATGACACAATTACTCACAATATAATATTAAAATATAGTGATGCTAGTTGTTTATAGTTTGTAAATCTTTGGATAAAGCTAAAAGTAATTAATTATCTTTAAAATTTATAAAATAACATTAAAAGTTAAAAACTAGACAAAAAGAGTTTTACCTTTATCTCTAAAAATGACTAATTATTGCTACTTAAAAGTAATCCCTTTCTTTAATAAAATTTCATATTATACATTCTTGGGATTTATATAACATAACACTTTTGTTAAATAAAATTTCTGACCTAAATTTTTTCTCTTGAACAATTGTTAATCTTTTTGCATTTGAAAAAAAAAGAAAGTTACATATTTTTGTTTTATTGTAAAGCTTTTGGTTTTTTTATTAAAATTTTGTTGCTACTAATCATGAATATGAAACTATTAATCATCTTTTCTATTTGAATTAAAAAGAAAGATAAATATATACAGAATAAAGTGATTTTACTTACCAAAAGTAATAAGTTAATAATTTTAAAGATTTAATTCCCTCAAAAATGAAACAATATACTCCAATTTTTTTAAAAAATTTATCTTGGTAATTTTTAAATAACCATTTGTTATACAGGTTATATAGACCTTTCTTTTTTATAATGATTAGACTTGGGGAAAAAAAGGCTTAAATGATAAAATACAAGAAAAAAAAAACTTATTGTCATATATCCAATTTGATTCATGTAATCTTCAATTGAAATATTATAAATAGTCATAATTATACTTGCCAAGTGTTTAATATCTTTTGATGAGAGACTTAAATTTAAAATAAAAAATTTGTGAAAAATCGAGAAAAACTAAATATTTAATGAATTAACATTTTTTTACAGTTAGTTTCACTACCTGAAAGATCTTATACTCATTTATCTATACCCGCCAATTATATATAATAGTCATTATAAGCTAGAAAAAATGGCTGATTTTTGAAATCTTTCATTACCAACTATTGAATAAAAAAGCTTAAATATCATATAAACTAAGGGAGCATTTATTTTATAAATATCTATAATAGGCAATCAATCCTGGTTGAATATAAAACAAACAAAACACTGATTAAAATCCCTATTACCTTTGTTAAGTTATTTATTTTGTTTCATGGTTATTTTTTACTAGATTTTTAACCATATGGCTAAAAATGGTTAGCCATATTCATTTAAACCTTTATAACCTCAATGCAATGCATCATCCTTCAACACAAGGAAAGACCAAAAACTGAACTCACCTAACTAATGCTAAAATCTGTAGTGCAAGTAAGAAAACACTGATTGTTTGTTATTGAGTGGTCGAGTAGAAAGAGTGTTATGGAAACTACTGCACATATAAGGGCGACCTAAAAACACCATTGATGTAATGATGTTTAATGGTCAATTATAAATCTGGAATCTATGCACGCTAGAGATCGCTCGCTTGGGCGCAAGAACTCTTCCAAACAATGCCTGAGAGATTCAGTATCGATCATACGTTCAATGATATTCCAGAGAGAGAGGGACATTGTCTCGTAGAGCTGCTCTTGGCTAATACCTTGAATGGGCATCTTGAGAGAGCTAGCGAGCTGTTTCACAAGTCCCCAGAGCGGAGCCTCGTTTCTTGGGTTTGTATCGCAAAAGGGCCTCCTGGAAGACGCAAAGTCGGTGTTTGACGCTATGCCCGCGTGGAATCTCGTGGCTACTGCTGGCCAACGTTATCTCTGTATAGATTAGCTCGAGTGCTTTCACTGTCTCGTGTACTTGTCCACGAGATACTTAGCCTTTGCAGGAGCGAAGTAGCGTGCCTACCATGTTGCGAGTTAATTAGCGTGAGAAAACTAGATAGAAGAGCTCTTACTTGGATAAACATTCGTTCAGCATCGCTTGCCTGACCTTGCTCCTTCAATAGAACTCCCTGATAAGCATTTGGTGTAAAAGAAACTACACATGAAAAACTTGAGGACTCACAAACCTTGGCCAAGTATCCTCTAAAGTCATCCGGACGACCCTTTATCAAAGCATCATAAACGGTTAATGCATCCGTGGGACGATTCCATGCAGAGTATGCTTTTCCAAGCAGGAGATCAATCTGTGAAATAATCTCGTGAGGTCAAAAATTACGTCTAGCGCACTTACCTGCACGGGATCCAGTGATGAGGAGGAGGTTCCGTCTTCCGCGGGAGCACTAGAAGAAATTTTGTCTTCAACATCATCTGCCTTTAAGACTTGGACACCAGGTGCCGTTTTTGTTGTTTCCTTTGCTCTAAGAAGCTCGTCCACTGCCTAAAATGTTTTAGTAAGAAACGTCAGGCACAGCAAATATCGTTCGTTACCTCCCCAGGTTTATTGGCATCTATTAAAGCTTCAGTGAGTCCCAGTAAAAGTTCCATGGAGGTCGAACCAGAAGCCTGAAGACAAAAACCGTTTACAGAAAATGTCTAAAAGCGACATGAATTACTTTGATCGCCTGGCGATATGCATTGGAACTTCCCTCAAAATCATTCAACGAACTTTTCACCTCTGCTAAGAGCCTTAGCGCTTCCACATTGCTTGGAGACATCTGCATTTCAAACAAGTCAAGCTAGTCATATCCATGCGGCCAATGCATACCCGAATAAGCTTCTCTAGATTGGTTTGAGCTTTAGCGTATTCACCAAGCTCGGCATAAGAAACAGCAGCCCCCTGCCAAACAGAGATCGATCAATGGGAACTTCAAAGCTTGTTCGAAACCGTATACCTCAAGCGCAGACAAATCATCTGGAGAATTTTTCAAAGCTTCCTCGAACTTTTGAAGTTCTGCCTGTTTAAATACGCGTCACAAGTGTTTAGGAGCAAAAACAGTAATGCTTTACCTTGAATTTCTCCTCCTCTTGGGGCCTAAGCCTCTTGCTGGCAACCACACCGTTGTCTAGATTTGTACTACAGGAAACGAAGTGAGTGCTAGTGTTAAAAAAAAACTCGTGCGGCCGTAGAACAAACCTTGCTGTCGGAAGAAAGTCGCCGATTGCAAATGATACAATGAGTCCGAAGACAGCGAGCCCAGCACCAGCCTATAAAAAATCCTGAACACCTCATGGCTCGTAAAAAACAAAAGCACTGACCAAAAGTTACCTTGAGAAGCAGGTTGTTCTTGTTTTCTTCTTTTGGGGGACTGGAATAGTCGAGAGGACCAAACTTTCTCTCCTTCTGGATTCGTAGCTGCTCTTCGCCAGAACTGGAAAACATAAACTAGTACCACTTGCAACTCACTCCATGTACCTTTTGATTGCTTTAAGACGCTCCTCAAAGTCAGCATTGTCATCTTTCTCGAAAGCTTGTTCGCCTGGTAGAAATTCTGGAGGAAAAAAGAAGAAACTAAGAGAGCATAAACTCCAGCGTCTAAGAAACTTACGAGCAATCTTGCTTTCCAAAGGCTTGGTCCTATGGATCAAAGGAAAATAAACACTCTTTCACGAAAGAACACACATCCTTACACTGGCTTTGGTTTCGCCCGCTCCTTCCTATCGCTCTTCTGCGACCGCATTCACGCAATGTATCAAAAGAATTCCATGCTTGCATGCTCACTTTGGAATCAAAACCGCGCGCTCCATCGCGGCAAACAACGCAGCAGCGTCTCAGCGCGCTCCTCCGGGCGCCAAAATCGCTGCTCACAATGCACACCTGGAACGGGAAACCTAATTTTCAGCTCAATGGAGGCGACGCCATACCCGAGAAGAGGAGACCATAGCCCGCATTCTAGCAAAAATATTTTTCTAACCGCGTGGCGCTGCAAATTCGTGACGCGTGGCCTTTCGTGTAACTAGGTTTGCCTTCTCTGGCTATGGCGGACATGCTCCCAGCTACCTGAATTATATGCCACGCGTGGATTAGGGTTTTGGCATTTTCTCCGGGCGATGGGAGAAGCGGGCATCGCCGCCGGGGGAGCGCCAGTCGATGAGCTCACGCAAGATGGTATGGCGCCTCCACACTCGAATTCCAATTCTCTGCCCGATTCCGATTCCAATTCCAATACTGGCTGCGCGGCGAATCGGAGCTACCGATGCGAGCTCCCGGCCGAGAAAGAGATCGTCGCGAGAATTGGGAGCTTCGTGGAGAGGTGTAAGAAGCTACAGGACGAAGCATCGGTTCACAGTTCCAGGATAAGGGCGGAAGCGCAAGTGTTGAGCCAGCATGCGCTGGCTTACGATGCCGAGATTAAGAGCTTGAAGGGCGAGATTGCTGCGCTGCTAGAGAAGGACATGGTTGGAAATCATCTGGTGGAAAAGGTTTTGCTCTATGCGTTCTCTCTTCGCTCTTTCTTTCTAACTTTACACTCGCATGCATGTCAGCTGGACGATGATCTCTACAGGGCCCGTAGCATGATCTACGAGGGTGATGTCGCAGCTCTTCTTCCTCACAAGTCGAATGGTAAAGCTTTTCTTCTTCGCTCTTTCAAGCGTCTTGGATTTGGATTGATCGGTGAGTTTTCCAGGACTGTTTCTACGCCTCCTCCTGGGACCAGTGAACGTCCGAGCTACCCGGAATGACGCGCGATTTAAAGTGAAGGAAGAGTACAACACTTACAGGGTTCGTTTGCAAGGGATTTTTTTTCTCGTTTTGAAATTAATGTCTTGTTTGGCCCCATCCTTGCAGGACAGAACAGCAGTGTTGTTCTTGGCGTTTCCTTGTGTCCTCCTGTTACTCAAGAACTTTTTATGGAGTGGCTGCTTCCCAGCTGTACCTGTGCAAGCCTACCAAGTAAGTAACTTCGGTTTTGTAATCGCTCCATTAAAATCCTTCTGTCTGTGTCAGGCATGGCTGCTGTTCTTCTACACCAGCTTGGCACTGCGAGAAAACATTCTTCGAGTGAACGGAAGCGACATACGTCCATGGTATGTGTTTTATCCTGTTTTGCGTTTTTTGTCCGTCTTGAATTGTCTCTTTGTCGCTCAGGTGGGTATATCACCATTATTTTGCCATGGTTACAGCTCTTGTGAGTTTGACATGGGGCATTCAAGGGCACCCGTCGTGCGTTCGTAAACAGGTAATCTTTTGATAATTCTTCCTTTGTTCTTCCTTCTCATGGCTCTTTGTAGGAAGCTGTGAGACACTTTTTGTCTTGGGCGGCCATGCAGGGAGTCTCGATGCTACTGCAGAATCGATATCAGCGACAGCGCTTGTACACACGAATCGCTCTTGGAAAGGCAAGGCCTTGAGCGCGATATCTTGAATGTATATTCTTTTTTGCTATGGACTAACAACAGGCTAAAACATCTCTTCTGTGGTTCTAACTGGGTGATATTACCTGTTGTTTCAGGCTGGAAGAATGGACGTGGTGTGGGGAGAGACCGCGGGGATGAAGGGACAGATCTGGGTGCTGTATCCCCTGCTCTTCATTCTCCAGGTAAAGAGATCACGATTAGTCTCTAAGGAAAACAATTCGCCGGTTTGGCTTTTCGTTACAGGCGTTCCAGTTCTTCATTGGTTTCAAACTGCTTAAAACTCCAATGGTGGACAAAGATTACGATTGGCAGGCAAGGCTTCTATCCGGCCGTGATGTTGTTCTCTAAGATTGTGCTCGCTCTTGCAGATGGTGGCGTGTGGAGTGCTGCTGATCGTGATGGCTGTTGGCAACTTCGCGAACACCATGGCCACTGTTGCGACCAAGGTGAAAGTCAAGTCTCGGATGAAGAGAAAGTTGCAACGAATGTCCTCCAAGACGTCCTAAACGCGGCGGCTTAGCAACACTAACAGCGAAAATAATGCGCGTCGATGACTAGCCCAGTCAACGCCGGTCAGCATAATTTTTGGGTGGTATTGGAATATGCGCGGTGTCTTGACATACATCGCTTGCGTGAGAAGTGTGTATGATGAGGCAATGCCAGGCGCTTGCTTGTGGGAATCATGGAAGCAACTAAACGATAGAAAAGAAAAGCTTGCAGGAAATTCTCGCGATTTTTTTTTCTCTTCGTGCCATGAAGTTTGCTGGCACGATCGCAATGCTTCATAGCTTCCAATTCTTTTGGAATTGGAGGGGTGGCCTTTGATGGATTGCTGCGTTTGTAGCAGCGTGGTGGTGGGAACGATCGCTTACAGGCCTCCACGAAACACAATCTGTGCTGGATGCCTCGAGGGAGCGCAATCGATCCTGAGCGTGAGCAGCCGGATCGAGCAAAATTGGAAGCTGGGAGAAGATGATCGGCAACTATCTTCCAAGGTAAGGTTTTCGAACGATCGAGAGTGACAAAGTGAATGGTTTTCGCATTTAGATCATGCTACTTCACGCCTCGAAAAGGATCGAGCATCTGGAGCTCATGGAAAGAGAGGCATCGCGCAAGCTTAGATTTCTCGAATCGCTGGCGGTGGGATTTCGAGAAGGGATTCACACCGACGTGGAGCTCGTTGCCAACGATGGTCACTCCATTCGAGCACACCGCATTGTCCTGGTAGAAACTTGTAGAACTTGCTCCCTCTCAAACTTCTTCGTGATCTAGGCCACAAAATCATCGTTTTTCAAGGTCTTGTTCGAAGTTGACGCTTGCAAATCCGAGCACAGTGGAGCCGTGATGGTCCCGGAGCTCCTCAACCACAGCCAGCTCGAGAACTTCATCGAGTTTCTCTACAGCGCTCGAATCAGCGACGACGATCTATCCAAAAACTCGGCGTCTCTTCTCGTCGCGGCAGACAAGTATGATATCCCAGCTCTGGCCAGAACTTGCGAGGAGTATCTTACGAGCAGTGTAACGTCTTCCAATGCGCTGGAGATGCTCGAGCTCGCAACTCTCTGTTCTGCCGAGGCTCTCAAAGAATCGGCAGTGAAGACAGTGATCGACGATTACCAAACGATACTTTTCTCCAAAGAGTACGAAGAGTTTGCGTTGAGATCTTCCATGGTGGCTCTGGAGATCTCCAGAGCTGTTATAAGCCACCTTTCAAGTTTGAGAAAAGAAATAGACAAGCTATGAAAAGAGAAAAGTTTGGCAAAGTTCCAATTTGTTCTATTGTCCAAAGGCTCTCCTTTTATTGCTCGCCAAACGAAAGAGTACCTTCTTCCAAATTTTCCAGCCAAATTCAAATCCTAGTAGCGGTGGGAGAGCTCCCTCTGATGCACGGAGTGCTTGCAAAACCTACACTCAAACAAAAAGAAGCTCAACCAAGAACAAGAGAAGAAGGAAAGCCCCAAAATCAGGCAAAAGTTTACCACACGGGGCCGTAGAATCCCACGGCGACGAGCACGCCATAGTGCCAGTTCTCAAGCTTGTGAGTGTGGTCTCATCCGGGTTGTGTATTAACGCCATTGCTCCGAAGAGTTGAGAGGCCTCGTTCATTCGCAAGCATCAATAGAATTGAAGAGTTTTTCTGCTATAGTTATTTAATGATACATAGTTCTTTTAAAAATATTACTCCGCATTTTATTAAAATCTAACAAGGTGATCCACCGCTATGTTGGAACATTTACATTATGCTAATAGTCAGCCAGATCCAGAGCTTTCCTCCTTTTTGATCCTCATCTCCGAGTTACCTACAAGCTATACAAAACTTGGAGACTGCAGCAACCAAAACTAATGCACTTACTAGTCTGTAGTTCTCCACTTCCACACGGATCCGTGGCTCATTTAAGGACACGACCTGAGGAACAAACTGAAAAACTTTCGAAAGAAACAAAATACTCACATTTACATCATTTTCACGCCAGTTGACAAAGGGATACTTGTTAACGCTCTCGCCCAACCTTTCTCTAATATTTGCCTGCACAAATTTGAGCAGCAAGTAAACACAAAAACTTGTTAATACCTCCAATTGTTCCTCTTCCCAGCCAAGAATGGCATTGCTGCCAAGCGCCCGTAACATTCCTTGATAAAACACATAGGCATCCTTTTCTTCAACAACTTCTGATCCTGTGGGAAACGGGCGACTATCCTGTACACCAAATTCTGTGAACCAGGAGAATAAAACAACTTGTCAACACACCTGACTTATGTAAAGGACTCCAACAGGGGCGACAATTTCAGTGGGTAATCTGATTCCACAAAAGCGTGCTTGAAACTCCATCTCACGCTCCTGGAACAACCGTTCCATGTCTTGAACAGATGTGGAGGCATCCTTGAATGCCTCTTCTTGAAAAGAATCTCCACACCGTCTTCGCAGCTCGGAAACCTTGAAATCTCAAGCTCAGAGTCAGAACACACAAAAAAAAACGAATATTTACCTGCTTTTCAAATATACTGAATGACTCAGGAGTAACTCTTCCATTTTTCAACCTCACGTAGCCAAACACATCCAAAATAGAGTACCGATATTTTTTTGCAGACCACACCTGAAATGTTTTAAGCCAATGCACACTTAAAGAGGAAATAAATAAATTAAAAATATATATAAATATCACACCTTCAAGTACAAGCGGTCAATCGGCAGCCTCTTCTGCAACCTATCCACAAAGAGCCTTGCACCCCCCAAAGCAACTTGATATACATCCTCTGGCTTGAGACTAAAACACAAACAGAGTTGCAGAGATCAGGTTCATGAAACGCTTACCTCCATTTACATTCAGCAATGACGCGAGGAACCCAGGTTGCAACACCATCAACGCACCATGCTCCGCCCATCAATGCAAACATCAGGATGTCCATCACCCATCTCTGCGTGCATCCGGCAAACACTTATTAGTTAACAGAAGATTCAAGCTTACAGTTAACTTACCAGATTCTGTTTTTCGGAGGACGATTCGTGTGCTGCATTGCTATCCTGAGGCGGATCTTTCTCGACGTATTCGAAGCTCCCGTCCGCCTTCCTTACCTTTTCCATATACTTCGTGGAAGACTCTCGGGCAGCAATCTAAGGCTAGTTCAGTACAATAACAAAGAAAAGAAGTCTTCCTTACTTGTTCACTCGTTGGCATGATGGATTTGATCCCCGTGAAAACGGCAGACATATGGGGCCTGTCTTGCAATTCCCCGTACTCGTCACCACAGGGCTCCGCTTGGTACGCATCCTTGGCCAGCCGCACAGGCTGAATCATCCTTGTGACTGCTCGCTTCATCCACGGTTTGATCTGCTGCTCGAAGTCAAACTTGTCATTGGCAGGCATCTTGTGGGTGATCACTCGGATCAGCGGCTGCTGGAAGATGAAAACATCCCGGTCTGCAGAACAAGGGCTTGCACGAAGAAGCTTGCATGCTTCTTCCGTTAGGGACAACAAGGGAACTGGAGCTCGGGGAGGAGGAGTAGACGGGTCACCGGCAGACGATGTGGCAGACGTCGCACATCCCATATCTGCCGGTGATGTAGCAGTAGCCCCTGTTGTGTCGCCCGATGCACCGAGAGCCCATCCGTGGTGACCGTCAATGTGGGCTTTCTTGACGGACGCCAGAGCTTCGACGTTTGCAGAATACCTCGCAGCTTTGCAAGCTGCGCAACTGCTGCCGTAAAGCCAGTAAAGTAGAGCCTGCTTACTGTCGCCTTCTCCTCGCTTGCGCTTCGCTGGGCTAGCGTTGGCGTGCTCCATCCCTTAGGGCTAAAGATCCACGAGGATTTCCTTTTTAGTGAAAAAACAAAAACAACCCTAATAGTAAACCGCGAGGATGCCGAACGTTTAGGGTTTAGGGTTTAGGGTTTACACCCGTCGCTTGTCAATTTGCTTTTGCAACTTTTTGACAAAGAGAGCATCTGTGCGGGCGTCCCAATGATCTGCTGACCGTGCTTCTTCGAGCAGAGGTTCAACTGCAAGGACGTTGTGGACGTCATGATCGTGGGAGAGATGGAACCAGGGGTGACAAGTTTCCTGCAAGGATGGAAGAGGTTGTTCGTGGGATGATCAGGGGTGAGCTGGGATTGCGGACAAAGGAGAAAATCTGGGAGCTTAGAGATGGTTGCAGGAAAGCCGTCAACCGCAGGACGTTTCCACCAGTGTGAAAGTCCGAAGCTCATGGTTCTTTGTGATTTCGGATCCATCTTAGGCACAAGGTATGGATTTGACTTTTCCTTTTTGCGATCTTTCGATTCTTTACGCTGCCACTTGGCAGTGAAATCGTGATCGTCCACGTCCTGCTCATTTGTTCTTGCACGAGCCCTCAGTGGATCACTTTCACTATGAAGTCATCGAATGCAGCACCGTGCTTCGAGATTTGTATCGCGGTCGCAAGAAAGCACAGCCCCGGGTCTGAACGATGCTGTGGCGAGCTATATCAAGGGGTTGAAGAATAGTGGCCTCGAAGAGGGCTTGGATTCGATCAGATTCATCAATGTAAGTTTTCTTATACGTTTTTGCTTTCGTTTACTTGTGGCTTTTCAGATCGCGGCACCTATCGAGGTTGTTGGTCGCACAGCAGAGAAGCTCAACATCAAGGAATCGACTTACCTTGGTTTGTTTGCCGATCGAACAGAGGCTAAAACTTTTCTCACTTTCATTCTTCCTACAGGATTAGATTGGGAGAAGCGAGATGCATTTGTGCGACAAGCAATCAGCAACTCGTTGGACAGAAAAATACAGTTGCATGGAGTACCTGTTGTATAGTGTGGTATGGCATCGTTTAATGCTTTCTGTTGCGGTTTGACTGACACTTCTCTCCAATGAGAACGACCGTCCTGTGAAGTTCACGGTGGGTGACTCATCGGAGCTAGAGCTAAACCCGATGCTTGCAGTGCTCAAGGCTTCTGACTTTTTGATTATTTTCTTACATTTTCTTTTCCTCAGGTGAAACTTCGCGTAATGAATTGTTGAAAGGTTTGGAAAGGGCTTACGTCGCAACCTGTAGATGCCACCGACGCGTATTTCGGTGCCAAGGTGATTGGCAATTTTGAAAACGAGTGTCTTATGACGTTTAGAATTTCAGATGGCTATATATTTTGCGTTTCTTGGAATGTATATGCAGTGGCTTGTCATTCCGTCGATAGTGGCGCTTTTCTTTTATTATAAGGAGTCTCGTTTCCTTTCGCGTTGTTGAGTTTCACTTAAATTTTTGCTGCAGACCACGAGGAACTGCTCTCCCTGTAGCCCTTTCTGTAATCAGTGCTCTTCTTGCAGTTTTGGAAAAGAAAAAATGCAGCACTGCTTACAAGGTTTGTTTGAGAATTAAACTGGTCTTGGCTTGACAAACGACGGCGGCATACAGGCAGGAAGAATCCATGAGATGGATATCAACAAGCTGCAGAAGCAGGCATTTCAGAAGGAATGGCTGGAACAGCTGAAAAGTGCGAGGAATAATAGGATTGTTTTTGAGGGAATCATATTCGTTCAACTTTAAACATGTACCTTTCTTATAAAATTCTGCCTGACACTTTTCAAAGTTATTATTGTCAAAAGTGAAGGTAATTAGTCGAATAAAATCTTTACATTTTCATCAGTAGTTGCTTTGTTAAGACAACCAGTTTAATTATGGTCACTCCATCGAGCACACGGCATTGTCCTGTAGAAACTTGTAGAACTTGCTCCCTCTCAAACTTCGTCGTGATCTAGGCCACAAAACCATCGTTTTCCAAGGTCTTGTTCGAAGTTGACGCTTGCAAATCCGAGCACAGTGGAGCCGTGATGATCCCGGAGCTCCTCAACCACAGCCAACTCGAGAACTTCAACGAGTTTCTCTACAGCGCTCGAATCAGCGACGACAAAAACTCGGCGTCTCTTCTCGTCGCGGCAGACAAGTATGACATCCCAGCTCTGACCAGAACTTGCAAGGAGTATCTTACGAGCAGTGTAACTTCTTCCAATGCGCTGGAGATGCTCGAACTCGAAAGTTCTGCCGAGGCTCTCAAAGAATCGGCGGTGAAGACAGTGATCGACGGTTACCAAACGATACTTTTCTCCAAAGAGTACGAAGAGTTTGCGTTGAGATCTTCCATGGTGGCTCTGGAGATCTCCAGAGCTGTTATAAGCCACCTTTCAAGTTTGAGAAAAGAAATAGACAAGCTATGAAGTTTGGCAAAGTTCCAAATTGTTCTATTGTCCAAAAGCTCTCCTTTTATTGCCAAAAGAAAGAGTACCTTCTTCCAAATTTTCCAGCCAAATTCCAATCCTAGTCGCGGTGAGAGAGCTCCCTCTGATGCACGGAGTGCTTGCAAAACCTACACTCAAGAAATAAGAAGCTCAACCAAGGGAAGAAATCCCCAAAATCAGGCAAAGTTTACCACACGGGGCCGTAGAATCCCACGGCGACGAGCACGCCATAGTGCCAGTTCTCAAGCTTGTGCTTGATCTTCTCCGGGAGATCCTTCCACAGCCCCGGCATTATCTTGAGGTGATTCGGGGACAGCGTGTAGACCACCTCTCGCAGTCGCACTGCCACGATCCCTGGATTCGCTCCCAGCGCCTTTCCACCGCCCCCCATGTCGCTCTTCTCTCGCAAACCCTTGCCCTAGATCAACAAGGCCAGAGCTCGATTCTCGCGATAGTCGTTTGGCAAAACGGGGAGATCCGACGGCTTAGGTTTTGCCACGCATAAAAGAATCTCTTAAAAAAAGGAAAAGGCATTAGAGTAACTATAAAAGGGCGGCTCAACACTTTGGCAACCCTAAATCAAATGGAGAAGTATGAGGTTGTGCCCAGCTCTGGATTGCCTTTGGTAAGAGCTTTGAACAACAACAAGATCTTCTGTTGTAGGACAGTCAGTGTGACAGGTGATAATCAAGAATTCTGGGAACTGAGGAATGAGATTCGGATCTTGACACTTCTCAAGGGCACTCCTGGGGTGATGGAGTTGATGGAAGTTGTAAGAGAACCCACACGCTGGCACTTGATAATGGAACCTTGTGAGGATCATTTGTATGAGCGTCTTAAATCGCAGGGGAAAATGGGCGAGAGAGAAGCTGCCCTTTTAATTCACAAAATGGCGGGGGTATTACACCGTATGCACTTCCTTGGGATTTTTAGGTACAATGAGATTCTTGTCAAGGGAGAAGACTTAGATGATGTGAGATTCTCTGGTTTTGATGATAGCATTGTGTTAAGACGTAATTATCGAGAAGAAATTACTGTAGATATTAGATGGTTGGGGTATGTTTTAATTCTTCTATTGACCAACATCTGGTTAGAGGACCAGCCACGTTCTTTTAACTGGCGGATTATGGTTCCACCAGGGGCAGCAAAACTGATCCAAAGCATGTTAGATGATCGTCATTTAACAGCAGCACAAGTGAAGAATCATCCATGGGTGCTAAAGTACGTGGAAAAGGAAAGTATGTTATCACAGTGGAAAGATTTTATTTACCTTACATTCAAGAGGCTTAAAATCCATTATCTAACTCCTGGAGAAATTTGTAAAGCTATAGTGTTTTATTGTATACTTTTATGGATGCAGAAAACCTTCTTCTGCCTTTAAGTTACATAAAGTTGCAAATAAAATTTAAAGAAAGAAAGATTCTAAGTAAAAGTCCCTATATCATCATGGCATTGTTTTCAAGCTTGGTTTTGAGCTGGGCAACACAAATTTTGTCCGGCAATCATCCATAGTGAGCCTCAGGTTTTGAACATTTGAAATCCTCCAGCTGTTAAAAGTGTTTTATCTTCAACTTACATTCAGATTCTTCATGGTTAGGCTTGTTGCAATAACCACAAGACTTGCTCTATACTCCATGCTCCATAAGTGATCAACTCCTTACTCCTGGCACCTTGCTCCAAAGGTTCTGACTACACAATTTGATTTCTCTTGGAACCCTTGCTCGTCTTTAGCTTTGGTGGCTTCTTCTCTCTCCCAGGTGTCTTTGCCACGGCCTTTCTCTCAGTCTTCATCCACGTCTTCTACTATCAATCTCTCTATCCTGCAAGTGTTCACTTTTCGTCACTTCCACGTTGGTCACGTCCAAATGCTTGCGAATGTCCTTCAAACAAAAAATCACTCATTCGAGAACATGAAACGATGATAAACGAACGAGAAATAGGTCTTCTTATAACCTGCTCTGGATCGAGGGGCCCGAGTTAGGAAAAATCTGACATTATATATTTAATCTCGTTTTGTAAAAACACAAAATGAAATTCTCAAACAGCTTTTGCTGTATTCAAAGTGAAGTATCTCTTTGAATCTTTAAGAACTTCAAACTCCTCACCATTAGAGTATTCAATCACACGGCAACATGACCCTGTAGTCGAACTTCTCTCATATAAGCTCAAGTAAATCTTGCCCTCCACTGATTTAACCTCCAATAGTTCCGTGTTGTGCTCGTATGAAACCTCTCCTAAGAGTCTCATTTCATAATCCTCAAATACCACAATCTCAAAGATTTCTGCGACTTGTTTGTCATCCGTAGACTTCGTTCTAACCAACACCAAATTCTCCCCTTTCTCTTCCAACCACATCATTGTTCCTGGTTTTCCCAAATCAGTCTTTAGTGTTTGAAACCGGCCACCCTCCTGAAGTCTATAACATACTAATGCCATCTTGAAGAGATTCAAGGCAAAGCAAACATTCCCTTTCACAACTGGACATGCAATAGGATCACCCTCGTCAATCTCAACCCACTTCTCTGGATCTTTGGAAGAATATTGCTTAACATAATACCAAAAAACCAACACCTTCATCTCGTTCTCGCCTTTCCACACAGCAAAGTCAGGCGTTTTAACACTATACGTCTCCAAATATAGTGGTGGAAAAATCCATGAAATAGTGCCCGATGAGCTACATAATACTATATGCCATTTATCTTCGCTCCCATTACACTTTGACATCAAAATATTTTGGTTTTGTACTGCCGCTACCACCCTCACATTGTGTCCCGTGATCTCACATCTATCTATCGTGCTTACTTCATCGCAAAGCATAAGGTCTTTGAACTCGAAAAGTCCACCACCAGGGATGAAAGAAACCTTTGCTGTATTGTGATCAAGTAGTATGAGACGATGTTGGATCCTAATTGCTTCTCTCCATACTAAATTTAAACGACTTGCAATCACTTTATCAGCATAAGAGAGTTTGCAAATGATATGCTGAACAACTATATCATCTAGCAATCCTGGAATGAGAACACCCATCTAAACCCTAGTCAGTTTTTTTTCCTTTTCTTCCTTCATATAAGCAGATATCTTCAAATTACCTTTTAGCTTACACCAGTTGAAACATCTATCACCTTTAGCTTAAAACCAACTGATCAGCAGCGTCTAGATTTGAGCGCTTGGAAGCGAGCAGTCAGATCGTCGTGATCGTCCGGGCTGGAGCCGCCGTGATCACGGAAAAGCTCGCTGTGGGAATGCCTGGTGCGACCATTGAAGCTGGAAACTGGCGAGTCATCGACCTCGTTGGCGGCACCAGACAAGTAGTCACGGAGCTTGTATGATCTTGGGCTAGTTTCTTCGTCACACGGCACCGTGTTCAGGATTTGCTCCGAGAGTCCCTGGAGCACCTGTCTCGTTGCCAGATTTGCCACGGCTCGGGCAGCAGCAGCAGCTTGCTCGGCCGAGTCCGCCGCCGCTTGAGCCGCGGCGGCGACGTCCTTGTAAGCTGGAGTGCCCGGACCGTTCATGGTGGAGTGAGCGTGGTTCTCCTGAGGAAACGAACTGCGCGGAGTTATCGACGCTCTTGAGTTGACAAACATGGAAGAATTGGTGAATGTCGAAGCTTTGGTGTTCATGACAGGCTTTGGAGGAGGATCGGAGCGAGGCCGAGGCATCTCGGTGGCCGACTGGAACTTGTGAGGACCATCCTGTGGAGAGAAACGTTGTTTCAGTGCTAAGAGGTGAATGTAAAACTTACGAGAAGGTCCTCGGGCTGGCTTAGAAGGTCGGCCTCAGTGTCCCTGGGGTCCCAGACCACACCATATTCCGTAGCTATTTCTTTGAGCACCTTTAGTTTCGTCTCTCCGGACGGAGCTCGGACGGACATTTTCTCGATTATCTGGAGCAGAAAAACTAAATTGTTGTCAGAAATTCAAAACAGAAAGAACAAAGGAAATTGATCCAGACCCTCCGGCTAACACCACAAGTCGGCCTCAGCTCAGCAGCAGCAGCAACAAACTCCTTCCCGTACTTGAGAGCAAAACACGATTTTATATCAGCGAGCTCGGGTAGATCAGCACACCTTGCTGCTGCAAAGATCAAACTTGCGATGGATTCCTTCAAGTCGGCCGGACATGTCCTGCATCAAAATAGTTGATCTCAGTTTTTCATTCGAGACTAAAAGATAGAACTTCTTTTCCTTTGTTCTTCACTCTTTTGATCAAACTACTTACTTCTGGCCATCGATCACTGGCAAACGCACTACAATGAGCTCAGCGAAAAGCTCCACCATATCATACGCGTCCATGATGTTTTGCTCTCTGATAACATGCTCTACCTGGTGGAAACAAAGCTTAGAAGATGGGAATATATTGGAGAATACCCACCCGGATGCGAGCGCTAGGTTCCTGGCCAGTCCCCAACATCTGTGCAATGTCGCGCCGCATTTGCTTCACCTGGATGTCCCTCTTGTTCCTCAAGAGCTTGATCCGAGACGTCGCAAGCTTGAGGAGCGTTTTGCTGCCATGGATCGATCAATAGGGATGAGAAAATAAAAAAAGAAGTGAGAAGCAGGACAGCGATCAATCGATCGAAGAGGGCCGGCGACGCGCTTACCATTTCGAAGATTTGAAACCCTTGCCCAGCATTGCTCTGCGCTCTCGCTCTCTCCTTCGCACACTTCAAAACAATAGGCCGTTAAAGAGGTGGACATTCCGGAGTGGAATAGGCAGCGTCGCCCGTACATTCTGGGACGGAATGGCGGAGGGACTGGTTCTCTCGGAATGAGCCTTGGCGATGTTATCAGGCGGTGTGGGAGGGCCAAGGATCTAGCAGTCGCGAGAGAAATCCACGCGAGTGTTTCGCCGATCGGTCTGCGGCACGAGACTCGCCTGTGCAATCAGATGATTCAGATGTTTGGGAGCTGTGGGAGTCTGGATGATGCGAGGTTGGTGTTTGATGGAATCGCCAGCCCCAATCTATTCTCTTGGAACAATCTCCTGGCCGCGATTGCCAAGAACTCCAGCGCCCGCGAGGCGGCAGATTTCTTCGAGAAAATGCCGACGAGAGATGCCGTGTCGTGGAATTCTCTCCTCGGAGCTTTTGCCGCCGTAAGGGATTTCGGGACTTTCGAAGGGCTTCTCGATAGAATGCCACAGTGGGATTCTTTCTCTTGTAATCTCCGGTTGAAAGCTTTGCTAGATCGACAGGATTTCGAGGCCGCGACGAAATTCTACGATTCGATGCCTTGCAGGGATGAAATCTCGCTCAACACAATGATCGCTGCTTACACTCGAATCGCGGATGCGAAAGCCGCCAAGAACATCTTCGAATGCTCCCCTGCTCGCGACTCCTCGACATGGAATGCGATGCTCCACGCGCTCACCGCGAGCAAGCAATCGATCGCCGCGGGCGAGCTCCTGGAAAAGATGCCGCAAAGGAGCATCGAATCGTGGACGGTTCTTCTCCATCTCTACGAACAAACTGGGGACTTTCGAGGCTCCAAGTCAATCTACGAAAATCTCCCCTACACCGACGTCATCGCATCGACTGCCATGATCAGAGTCGCGGCGCGGACGGGAAATCTCGATCACGCGAAAGAGTTGTTCGATCAAATTTCTTCACGCGATCACATTTTGTGGACAGTGCTCTTGGGTGAGCTAGCTCGACAGCAAGAAATAGAATATGCCTATGCCATGTTTCAAAAGATGCCTCAATGGGACAATGTATCGTGGAATTCTATGCTTGTGGCATATGCCGAGATTGGGCAAATTCAAAATGCGGAAATATTGTACAGAAAGATTCCTTTTCCAGATGTTTTTTCCGCTAGCATCATGGTAAATCTTTACGGACAGGTAAATTTACCGTGGAAGGCTGAGGGTTTGTTTCTGGCTACGTGTGTGAGAAATGCAGTGGTGTGGACGGCTTTACTAGCGGCATTTACCTATTCCAGGCATTTAGAGAAGGTAAAGTTTCTATTTACACGAATGCCTTGTTGGAACATGGTGGCATGGACGGGTGTGATGGTCGCTCACGCGTCTGTCGGTGAGCTATCGACGGCTAGGATGGTGTTTGATGACATCCCTGAGGTGGATATGCCCGCCTGGAATGCTTTGATAGCAGCATATGCCTTGAAAGGGCATTTGTCTCAGGTGGTCGAGCTCTCCAATTGCGCGAGCTTGGAAGGGATGATAGCCGACGAGGCCACGTTTAGCAGCATTCTCTCTTGCTTTAGGGTTTGTGGATCGGTCGAGGAGGGCCGGTGGTGGTTCCTGGTGATGGTGTCGGATCACCGATTGAGGGCTGGAATGGAGCATTACTTGTGTATGATCGATATTCTGGGGCGCGCGGGGGAGCTAGCGAAGGCGGAGGAGCTGATCCAGAGCATGCCATTCCAGCCGGACGCCGTGGCGTGGAAGATTTTGGCCAATGCGTGCAAGATCCACCGGGAAATCGAGCGGGGCAAGCAATCCGGGGAGGCGGCGCTGGCGCTGGATCCAGATCAGGTGTCGCCCTATGTGATTCTGGCGAACAACTACAGGGAAAAGGGAGGAATGTGTGACTAGGGTTTATAGAATGGGACTCCCATCGCTGGGCGCTGCGGCATTGATGTAGAGCGAGGAGAAGCTCCATCCAGGCACAATGGTGAAGGCACTCACAGAGGAGGAGAAGCTCCACAAATTGGTGGAAGCAGTGTTCCAGGATTCGGACAACGATGTCACTGTGGCATTCAAGGTCACAAAGAGCCAGTCGGCCTGGGGAGCTCTCTCGCGTTCCACTAGCAAGCCTCGAGTGCTTGCGATCACTTGTAAGTAATGGTGTTTGTCTTCTCAAGTTGGTAACTCCTCTCGTATCAATGCAGGCAAGCGCTCACCCACGACCCAGAAGTTCAAGGTCACTCTTCATGTTCTCAAGTATAGCTCCTCTGGGTTTCAGGCAAGAATTGTGGTGGTGATAGCAATGTTTGGTCTCACTTTTTCTTTGGTTTTTTTCTTTTGAAGAGGGCTAAGCTATACAAAATGAAGCATCTGTCCAGGGTGGAAGTTGTTCCCAGCGACAGCACCGGTTGCACATTTGTTCTGGTACGTGTTTTCATTTTTTTCTTTCGTTACTGATAGATACTGTTCTCCAGGGTTTTGACAACTTGAAGATCCAGAATGTAGCTCCTCCTCAATGGACGATGCGAAACGTAGACGAGAGGTAGGCATCGCTTTTGAAAAACACTTCTTTTAGTTATTGCATGGCGTGGCGTACAGGAATCGCTTCCTCACAACCGTTATACGACTTTGTAAGGAAAACCTCGGTCGTATACCGAAGATTGTGGGCATGGACGTGGTAGAAATGGCGTTATGGGAACAGGTACTCTCTCTCTCTCTCTCTGTTTTTGTTTTTTGAATCAGCTTTTGATTGAGATTTGGTGTGGAACAGGCGCATTCTGATACAGCGGCAACGCCATCCGGAACTGCGACCGCGGATGGAGTTGATCAAACAGACCTTAAGGTCACTGTAGAAAGGGAGCTCGTTTCCAAGGCCGAAGAGGACGATATGGAGGCTCTACTTGGCACGTACGTAAAATTTCCAATTTTCTTAATGTGCGTTTGTGAAACCTCATTCGACTCAGATACGTTATGGGACTTGACGAAGCTGAGGCATTCTCGGAACGTTTAAAACGAGAGCTTTTAGCATTGGAAGCCGCTAACGTCCATGCAATATTGGAAAGCGATCCTTTGGTTGAGGAGGTAAATTTTCAAAGAACAATATAGTGTTGGCTGTGTTTACAACAATCGTTATATGGTATAGGTTCTTAGACGTTTGAATAATGCGTCAGAAGCGGTCGAAGACATGGATGAATGGCTAGGAATATTTAACGTCAAGCTTAGGCACATGCGGGAAGACATCGAATCGGTATCCGAAATCTTCATTCTGGATGTTTTATCTTAACTGTCTTGCAGATAGAATCTAGAAACAACATGCTGGAGATGCAAGTTCAGAACAACGCAGCCCTTGTTGCGGAGCTTAATAAACTTCTGGAAAGACTACATGTTCCTCCTCAGGTGCTTGTTTCTTTCTTCTTTATATTTTCTCATTGCTGATACATCAGTATGCAACACTGCTGACAAGCGGAGCGTTTGATGAATCGAGAATGCCACAAAATGTTGACGCTTGCGACTGGCTAGCAGGAGCAATTCGTGGAATGGAACCTCCACTTATGGATCCAGCCTATGTTAATATGCGTGCGGTAAACATTTTTACCGTACTCTCATGCATTTTGACATGAAAGCTAGTTTTACAGGTAAAAGACAAGCGAGGGGAACTCGAAAAATTGAAGTCGACATTTGTTCGTCGTGCTTCTGAATTTCTGAGAAGTTATTTTTCCAATCTTGTCGATTTTATGATAAGCGACAAAACATATTTTTCACAGGTAGCCTTTTCGTTTTGGTGTTCGCTTGCTGATTTTCTTCTTGCAGAGGGGTCAGCTGAAAAGGCCCGACCACGCAGATTTACGATTCAAATGTAGAACATATGCTCGTTTGCTGCAGCACTTAAAGGTGCTACCATTTCTACCTCGTCTTTGTCTCACACTAGCCATTTGATACTTCAGGGGCTAGACAAAAATTCATTGGGACCTTTGAGAAAGGCTTATTGCCAGTCCTTGAACTTACTGCTACGGCGAGAGGTATAGTTTGTGTGATTTTTCTGACTTTCTGATTAAGGTTTTCGATGTTTTGTGGAAATTTACAGGCTCGTGAATTCGCAAATGAGCTTCGTGCAAGCACGAAGGTCTTAAGGAGTTCAGCTGTTTGGATGGACAATGCTGTTGCTGGTGGAGGAACGACTGGTTCTATGGGTGACACATCCACAGTTTCTGATGCATACGCCAAGATGTTACGAATATTTGTACCCCTTCTTGTCGACGAGGTAAGTTGCAGTTTCCACTATTTATTAAGTTTATGGTGATGGCGATTTTATGCAGAGTGCATTTTTTGCGTCATTTATGTGCTATGAAGTTTTACCTTTGGCCCCTCCCAGAGCCGGTGATGAGAAAAGTGGAGACGATGAGGATGATACTCCATTAGATTTAGATGGAGCAGATGCAAAGCCGAGTAAGTTTAGTTGAGATGAAAGATTTTACACGACTTTGGACTTTCCAGCGGAACAAAACGCTGCGGAGATGGAAGCCTTGAATCAGGCTCTTCAAGAGCTTCTTGATGGCATTCAGGTAGCGTCTATGTGATTTCGTTGACGTCTAACACAATCTGTTTCAGGAGGATTTCTATGCTGTTGTGGATTGGGCTTACAAAGTTGATCCTTTGAGGTGCATCTCAATGCAAGGGACAACAGAACGATATCTCTCAAGTCACAAAGCTGATGCCGCTGGTTTTGTTAGGCGCCTATTGGCTGATTTGCAAGCCAGGATCAGTAACCAATTTTCTAAGGTAAGTGTTTCTATCCCGCATGCTCTTCTAACTCAGCATGCCTCTTTAGTTCCTGGATGAAGTTTGCCATCAAATAGAAAAGCACGACCGTAACGTCAGGCAGACGGGTGTACTCTCATACGTTCCGAGGTGGACTGTTATTTCTGTAATCAAACATCGATCACGTACTGATTCATTGGTTCTAGGTTCGCAAGTCTAGCCTCACGAATGGAAGGATTGGTGCAGGGCATGTCGAGAGACATGGTGGATCTAGCTTACACGAGGCTGGTACGTTCAAACATTTTCATATAGGAACCAAAGTGTGTTTGTTTATGTGTAGGTGGGAACAATGTTCTCTGTGTTGGAACGTATTGCACAAAATGATCCAAAGTACGCAGACGTTTTACTGCTGGAAAATTATGCTTCTTTTCAGAACAGGTGCACAAAGGTTAACAATTCGACTATCGAACTTACTTTCATTTTATAGCATGTTTGACTTGGCAAATATGGTACCCACACTAGCTCGATTTTACCAGCAAGCTAGTGAAGCATATGAGCAAGCGTGCACTCGATACGTGAACTCTATCATCAACATGGTAGGATTATAATCACTCCAGCGTTTCTAATTTTCTTTTCACTTCTCGTTTCTCAGCAATTTGAGAAGCTGTTCCAGTTCGGCCAACGAGTGGAAAACCTGCTGTATACAATCACTCCAGAAGAGGTAAGTAGGAAAGTTTGTTGTGTAATGTCAAAGACTCTAAACCTTTTCCAGGTTCCCTTCCAACTGGGAGTTTCCAAAAACGAACTACGCAAAGTGGTGAAGGCTAGCTTGTCTGGCGTACGTTTAATTCGTTTACTGTTGGAAGGCCTTCAAATTCTTTCTCATGCAGGTGGAAAGGTCGCTCCAGGCCATGTATAAAAAGATGCAAAAGACTTTAGTGTCAGAGGAGTTGTTGCCAAATCTTTGGGATAAATGCAAGGTATGATCTTGCTTTCTTGTCTCGAGGATTAAATCTTGGTCTTTCCAGGTTGATTTTATTGACAAATACGAAAGCCTGGAAGCGTTGCTACAAAAGTGCTACCCATCTGAGACATTGAGCCCCTCGTCAACAGAAATGAAAGAGCTTTTCAAAACAGTTTGATCATCCGCATTGTAAAAGAGTTTAAAAAGGTTAGGATGGATTGAAGAAATGAGTGCAGTAATCTTGCATATTTTGTAAACGATTAAATATTTTAAATTTGCATAAATAAATAAATAAATATATTAAGAAATCATATAAAGTAGCTTAGAAATATTATTTGATTATAACTTTACGCAATTACCGTTTGTTAATTAACATTCTTGAACGGTATATAATAAAATATTTAATAAAAGGTAAAAATAAAGGTGGTTTGAAATAAAGTTGTTTTGAAGATAAATAACTATATGAATAAGAATGATATAGCAAAGATAAGTTTTTGTGCAATAAAGACCGCCATACAAGACCACAAAAAAAGTACAAGTTTTTAGATATTATTTGTGTTTTTAACTTTACTTTCGATTTTGAAATTATTTTAGTTTTATCATAGAATTTTATTGTCATTTTATTATAATATTATAATAATAACTCTTAAAAAAGATGCAATTCTTATTCGAACACAGATTTTCTTTCTTCCCATGGAACTTGGGAAGAAACATACCCAAGATAAATTTCTATCGGCAGTCATACTTGATTGCAAAAAGTCAGCGGACATCTTGTGTTATCGATCACGACACTTCCAGTCATGAAAAATCGTCATGAGCCTAAGTTATGATCACCAGCACGTCCCTCAGGCTGGGTGGTGGTGAGCTTCCAGTCAGATGAGAATATCCATAATCGTGAATCTCCGGTTGTCCAGAATGCCGATCAAGCCACATTCTAAGAAATTCGCTGGCGCCCTGGTTCTTGGGGTTTGGCTTTAGTGGCTTGATTCTAACAAATTCTGCATGCCACACATCCCGGCAGATAGATCAGCTGAGCTGAAGCGGCAGGTTCAAGAGCATGCGCCAGACGAAAGAGATGATAGGGTGCTTCCCGATCGGATCCAGGGAAAGAAGGTGCGCAAGACAACAAGGCAGTTTGGGTTTCTGCACGAGCACTTCAATGCCATGAAGCCGCTCCTGTTGCTTGAGAACATTGACGCGAAAGCGGCCAGTTGCGGAACGGGATGCTCCAGAAGCTCAAGAAAATCTGCGGAGCTGCCACAAGTGACACTAGGAAGCAGTCTTGTGCGGCTTTCCGGACTTCATTCGGCATCTCAGTTCACTTCCAGAACGCTGGAAACTAGGAGGTGTCCGCTTTTTTGTTTCTCTCTCATAACTCTGGTGTGTGTCAAGAGGTAATGTAAAATACATTAAAAACATTTATATTAGTTTTAAGAACCACTACTTTAATTTTAAAAAAGGGATATTTTTTCATACTAGCCTCATAAAAAGAAAAACTCTATGCTTCAAATGTTTCTCGTGTTTTAATCAAACCTCGTCTTCGTAGGCGCTAGATTTGATATTTCCTGGAAGTTCGAGTGTCAGCATTTCCTATGATCGATCCCTAGTATGATACTCACAATTTCTGGGTAATCGTAGCCAAGAGCCTGTAGTTTTGTCCGCCGTGCTTTATCCTTGCGCGCGAATTTTTCCACCAAGCGCTGCCTTCGTTCTAAACTCATCTCCTAAAAAAAAGCTTCCTGGTAAATGAGCATCACATCTATAGATACTCACCTCGTTGGTCTTAGTTTTGGAAGGTAAGTAGAACTTCTTGTTTGCTCCATTCCATCTGCACAAAAATACGTCAGCAGGCACATCGAGAGAAAAAGAAAACGTACAAAGATGGATGGATTTGATCAGTCGGAACAATCTTTACTTGAAGCATCCTTCCAAACATGAGATAGTTGTTCATGCTCTCGGCGACGATTTGAGCAATCTGGGGATAATTTAGAGGCTATCACAATGTGAGAAAACGTTTAGCTCTTACCTCTGGCGTTTCAAACTCTACAAAAGCGTAGTGCTTAGACTTTCCAGTCTGCAAAGAGAGAAGAAAAGTGTAAAAGAAGGTTTCACGGGACAAACATTCACGAGAACCTTCTTATTGCGAGAAAGGCGTAGTCGTGTCACAGCCCCAAATTGAGAGAAGTATCCTACATGAACAAGTCAGTGATCCATCCAGCAAAGCCGAAAAAAAAAAACAACCTCGCATTTGATCTTCATAAAAACCGTGTGGAATCCTTCCAATGTAGACCACAGAAGATCTTCTCTTGCCTTGCTCATCAAATTCTGTGAGAATCCGGGAAGAAGAGCTCCGCTGCTTCCTCTTCTTGGAGCTCCCGGCGGCGCCGGCCTCTAGAGGCTGCAATCAATGGAGCCGTGGGATCGACCGGAGAAGGAAGAGAACTTACCAGAAACGATGGAGCCCGGGCGCCCTCGCTACTCGCCATCGCCCTAATTTCACTTCTCTAGGGTTTTAGGGTTCTTCGATGTTGAGGCAAATTGCGCGAGCTTCCGGCTACTGCTGGAGGAGGAATCGAGATTTCCACACGCTCTATTTGCACCGGACAGTCACTGAGGCCGACGATCGTGCTGCTAGAGCGGTCAGGGTGGGATTGTTGGGCGTTCTTCGAGTGCTCGAACGCGATGTGGGGTATTTTAGACCTGTCGGGGCGGCAAACGCTGACGCGGTGAAGGGTTTCGATACAATGTGGGGGATCGATCGAAGAAAAGCGCTAGAATTTCTCGCGAATGGCGATCTGGACGAGATGCTGGAGCAAATTTACGTCGGTAAGTTACTTCTTTTTGTCCATGTGTCTCTTTTCTTCCTTTCCTCGTTTATGATCTTTCTCCTGTCCAGCTTACAGAGAGCTCAAGAGAAGGCACGAGTGTGTGCTGATCGAAGGAACACAGTTTTGTAGAGATGCGAGTGCTTTGGACGCTCACATTGCCAGTGCTCTTGGATCGCCAGTGCTCCTTGCGACCAATGTAGACGCTCTTCGTCAACTATGGAGCAGTAAGGATCACGCAGAGAATTTGCAGGACTGGGCCACAGAAATAGCAACTTACACTCGATGCAGCGCTCTTGCTTTTGAAAAGCTGAAGGTCAGAGTTGTGGGAGGTTTTGTATATGGATCTTCTGACGCTCCAGATATGAGAAAAGTCTTTTCAAAGTGGAAACTTCAGTTCGTGGGAGCACTTCCAGGCTTCGATGAACGTGAAAACCCGGTGGTAAATTCTTCGCATTGGCTAAAGCTTGATATAAGTATCTACTTTGTTCTCCAGAAGGCGTTTGCCGATAACATTGAGATCGAGGCTTTAAAACGAAACATGCCAGAGGTATGTAGCTTGAAATTTCATTCTCGATTTCACAACTACACTTGTGTTTAAAGGAAAATGCAGCTCCAGTGAGTCCACTGCTGTTCAGAAACTCTTTGTTTTCTAGAGCGAAAGAAAACAATCAAGTCATACTGCTGCCAGAGGTAAGCTTCATCCGTTTTTGCTTTTTCGTTTCCAAAATATTTACTTGCTGAAAAATAGTGCAGGGTGATGAGCCGCGAACGGTTCAAGCTGCAGGATTTATTCTCCAACACGGGTTGTGCAGTTTAATCCTTTTGGGAGAGCGAGAAAAACTTCTTGAGGCTGCCAAGGTGTACAATGTCGATTTACGCTCGGCCATTATCAAAGATCCATCCGACCCGCAAGAGCTGGAGAAGTACGCGACAGTGTACTATCAAACACGCAAACACAAGGTAAAGTTTCTCATTTTACGAGCAGCGTCTTACGGTCTTCATTGCTCAGGGAATGACGTTGGAAAAAGCAAGAGAAATTCTTGGCAACGATCCGATCACTCTGGGAACTTGCATGGTGTCTGCCGGAGACGCAGACGGGATGGTCTGCGGAGCAGTCCACACCACCGCCAACACTGTTCGTCCCGCTCTGCAAATTATCAAGGTAAAGACAGTCTCAGACGCAAAAGATCTAAACAAGCAGCGACATCTAGACGGATCCAGCGACGCCAATCGTCAGCAGCGTAATGTTCATATGTCTCGAAGACGCGGTCGTGGCCTATGCCGACGTTGCCATCAATGCAAGCCCGTCTGCTGACGAGCTCGCGACGATAGCAATCGCATCTGCTGACACGGTCACGGCTTTTGGATTGGAACCTCGCGTTGCATTGCTCTCTTACGCAACTGGAGACTCCAATGCAGGTACTGAGAATGGAAATCTGGCCTTCACATATTTTCTACTTGTGAAACTAGGCCCACTTGTACAAAAGGTCGCGGACGCTGCCAGCATCGCAAGATCCAGACGCCCGGATTTATTACTCGAGGGACCATTCCAGGTGCTGCCAGTATTTGTTTGCCACGATCCCAAGGATGATCTTATCGCTTTGCTGCATGTGTGCAGTATGATGCAGCGGTCAATGCGGCGGCCGCAAAGATCAAGCTCAAAGGAAAGAATAGCGAAGTTGCTGGAAAAGTAAGCTATAGGATTCGAAACTTCTGTTTTTTTTCTCTTAGTGTGAATCGTGTGTCGCAGGCAAACGTATTCATCTTTCCAGATTTGAATTCCAGCAACATTGCATGCAAAGTTGTACAGCAGGTAAGCAAAAAATCTGTTTTAATCGCGGAAAAAAATATTTCTCTTTTTGTTTTTGTTTTTTTTTTTCTTGTAGCACACTGGAGCTACTGTCATTGGTCCTATCCTCCAAGGCCTCCGGAAGCCCGTCAATGATCTAAGCCGGGGCTGCACTGTCAAAGACATAATCGCCACAATCGCCACTACGGCTATCCAGGCAGCGGCAGAGAAGAAGAAAAGCAAAGCAGTAGCAGTCGAAGCGATGAAAGCACGTAAAGAATAATAAAAGGACGCAAAACAAAAACAAAACTAGCGACGCTGTGATCGATCTACGAGCAATCAATCAAAGCGACGACCGTGAATCAAAAGAATCTCCTGCGAGAAGTTTTCTCCTTGGTTCCTCCCTTCTAAGCAGCCAGCACAGTGGCTCGCTCTCTCTCAACGAAAAAAAGAAGAAAGAGGAAGGAACCCGAGTCGTCAACCAAAAAAAAAATAAGAAGCTCTCGCTCTCGCTCTCTCCCTCAAATCAATGGATGTTGCACTGCTGGACGTAGGCGTGCGAGTAATTTACATACCTCTCCCACAGCGGCTTGTAGCGACTCATGGCCAGCTTGAGCCACGGCTTCATGTTCCCGTTGAAATGCACCACCCCGGCGCTCTCGATCAGCTGGGCATCGATGTTTGGATCGTATCCCAGTCCCAGGACGTGCAGCTTGCGATCCAGCGGCTCCGTGAGGCCGTAGAAAGTGAGCAATCCCGGCGGCAGCGTCCCCAGCTTCCACAGCGTCCTGTCCACGTTTTGCTCCTGCCAGTAGTGGTACCGGGCTGTAACGTTGGCTCTCTTCCACGCCACCAGGTCGAAGACGTTCATGCCGAACGCCCAGCCGCACGCGTCCGGGTCGAAGTTGGCCTTGATCTTGGGGTGCGAGAAGTTGAGGTACTTGTGGTAGCGGTGGAAGCTCTCCAGGCACGTCTCCACGGCGCCGTTGACGTTGCCGTGGAGATCGATGGAGAAGAGCGGCGTGAGGTCCTTTTGCACCACGATGTCGTCGTCCAGGAACACCACCTTCTGGAGCTCCGGGTAAATCTCCGGGATGTAGAAGCGCAGGTGGTTGAGCATGGAGAGGTACTTCGGGTTCCGGAACTTGACCGCGTTCTTGCTCTCCTGCCCGGATTTGAAGTAGTAGCTCTGCGTCTCGACGTCCTGGAGCTGCTTGAGCACCGGCACGTAGGACGCGTTCAACCACGTAAACGTGTCGATGTTCTGGACCTCGATCGTCGCCCCCTTGAAGTCGTTCTGAGCAAACCAGACTCTCATGGCGCCAAAGTTGACGCTGTCCGTCACCAGGTGGAAAACCAGCTGCGTCGGCCGCTTGGCGTTGCAAACCGTGGAGTTGATCACCACCGAGGTCCCCAGGATGTTGTCCGAGAAGACCACGAAGTGATAGAGGTCCTGGTCCGTCAACGCCGGGGAGTGCTGCTGCTTGGAGAGCTCCCCTCGCGTCTCGGCCCACTCGAGCGTCAGCTGCATCCCCAGGCAGTAGAGGCTCTTTGGGACGGCCTCGGCAGCGAGCTGACCAAAGGTGGTGCTTTGGACGGTGGCGGCGCTGGCACGCTCCTCGAGCGCTTGGATCTGCGCCTTGAACTTCATGATCACCGTGGCGATGTCGTAGTGAAGCTCTCTCGATTGGTAAATGAGCGACGCCAGCTGCTTCATGATCGGCTCGGCCTCGGCGGCGGTGATTGGCGACGCTCTCGTTGCTACCTGTGAGAAGAGAAGCTGGCAGGCCCTGATCTGTGCGCTCAACTCCCAGGCTAGCTGCAAGTTGCTGTTCTCTTTGGCGATGACCAAGTAAGCCTTTGCTAGAACCATCTGATCTCCAAGCTGCCGAGCGTATGAGCGAACATCCAGGAGCTCTTCCGTGAGATTAAATGAATCGGCTATGACCACGTCAAGAGGTTGATTCGTTGGCTGGAAAGCACAGGCGAAAAAGTAAGAACAGCGAAGAAAAAAAAGGGAATTCCAGACACTCACCGGAGCTATTGGAGCTGGATGTTTGGATAATCCAAAGAGCGCCACAATGAGCAGTCCCAGCAGGCCAATCGAGAGGCAAATCGAGACGAGCGAGAGCCTCCTCCGCCTCCGGACACTGTACGGTGGTCGCCTCATTGCTAGCGACGAGAGAGCAATCACCGGGAGGAGCTGATCCGCATTCCTAGCTCGCCCCAGCCCTAGAATCTCGCTTCCCGGCCCCGAGAAACCGTGAATTCCAAGAGAAGCATCCCCGGGAGCTCAAAAATCCGCCCCGCCGCAACGGATCTCTCAGCTCCACTTTCTTGCCGATTCCAGGAGAGATTTCCAAATGCCGGCGCTGGGGAGGACGGTCTTGGCGATTACCTCGAGGAGCGGCGGCGGCGGCAGCGTCGTCCCGGCGCTCGCCTCCTCTTCCATTCACATTAGGTCGCTCAGCGCCATGTTATAGCAGCATAGTCCAAAAAATAGCCCAATCCTAGCCGTTGGATTCCAGATGATGAATCTATTATTATTCGTTGTCTACTCTTTTCTTCCTTCCCAAACCATCGTGAAGGGAAGAAGACAAACAAAAATCCTCTTCCTTTACAAACTTAAGAGAAAATAATCGAGATCGATCAAGCACGATGGTGAACGACACTTACGTGCGAAAATCAATAGAACTCTGTCATGTTTTGGTTTGCTCTGCCTCGTCTTCCCGAGTTTTTCCATTCCTGCCAGAAGCGACTAAGAACAATCGCTACATTTTTCCGGGAATTTTTACCTCGCCAGGAGATTGCATTCGAGCTTTCGGTCTCTTTCTGATCTCTTCAGTGGGGATTTCCTACACGAGAGAGAACTATCAACACAAAACTCTGGAATGTCTTAGAATGAGCTTTCAGACCTGTGGTACCGCACAATCAGCGTGACGAGGATCCCATGCAACAGCGCACGAACATTCCCATCCATCATCGGCGACAATGTGTAAAGGAGCCCTGGAAAGGAAAAAAAGATATCTCACGTAAGTTACAGAGCTTTTTGCATGAGAGAATACCTTCGCCATTTGCCGCAAACTATGTCCTTGTTTGCCACTTCTCCGCTTGGAAGATAATCGCCCTCTTCATAGATGATGTTTTGGCATTGCACCCAGTTTTCTCGTTCGTTTTCAGGCAAGCTCCTAGCTGGTATCCATCCCATAGGCCAAATATTCTGGTGATAGAAAGAACATCAGCAAAGAATAAAAAAAAGAGTAGTAGCTTACAGCAGCAACAGTTTGCTCGGCCTGGTCTTTCTCTTTTAATTTCTCCGCCAGACTGCGAGGAGCCTCAAGACCTGGATAATCTGGTCGACTGCACAAGAAAAACCATACGTTAAAGACCGGAAAAAAAAAAGGAAACCGGAGAGAACTTACACATCCTCGTACGAAACTTTGCCACACCATTCCGGAACAACTGCCTGAAACTCATCTCCAACACGAACTTGAGTTCTCTCCATGCGCTGCAAGTCCCAGCCACGAACTTTAGTCTTGTCGATCTTCCAAGCTGCAGGAAGCTTCTCTTCAAAATGTCCCGCCGGGAATATCTTCAGCTCGGCCGTCTTCTTCTTGCGTTTCCTCGTGCAAAAGCTGCAGAGCCAGCGATCATCTCGTGGCACGCTTCTGATCCTCGGGTAGCAGCAGGAGAGATGATACGTCTCCTCGCACGTATCACATACCAGTGTTGAGTTTGCATTCCCGGGCCGTCCACAAACTCTACAGTTCTCGGCGGTAGCACTTCCATCGCCAACGCTCCCCGGATGGACAGCCACTACGGAGCTCTCTTCCACCAAAACACTGCTCTTGAAAAGTCCCATCTGTTCCAGGAAATTCAGGCACTCCTCGATCATTTCCACCTTATCCTTGTTCAACCGAGTTTTCGATGACTTGTCCTGCCTCCTCCTCCTCCGGATCTTGGCCTTTTTATCCGGAAGTTCCTCCTCCTCCTCCTCCTCCTCATCCACGAAGCAGCGTAACTCTTCCGGGATCTGGTAAATATCAACGTAAGAGTGTCTCAAATCGTATCTCCTGTTCTTCGCTTCCTTGTGGACGTTGTTGTTTTCCAGAGAAGTTGACGACGCATCCGAAGGGTTCTCTGCACCCTGTTGAGGAGCAGAAGCCTCGGCGGCTGATACCCGAGCTTTTGGTTGCCTCGCCCTCGAAAAGTGTCGCAAGCTCTTCTGGTCCGCAGCCGCTTCCGCCGGAGTTTCTTTCTCTTTGGACGTCCGGCACTCGTCTCCATCTTGTTCACAGGACTTTTCCTTCTCGAAGCTTTTGTCTTCGGGACGATCCGTGTCTAGCGGCTGCTGTTCCAACCGAGGCGACGAAGGAAGGGCTCCTTGAGGTGCTGCCTCTCCACCTCTGTTTGGGTTGGAGGTCTCGGCAAACGACCACCCGTCACAGCGGGCCCTTTTCTCGGGCCTGGAAGCATCCAGTTGAACGATACCTGTTGTTCTAATGTCAGCACCGGCAGCCAAGGATGATCTCTTTCGAGCCGCTCTCATTCTCATTGTGCTTCAATCAGAAAACCACTCTGAGAAAGAAAAAAAACAAAGGGAAGATAAACAGCTTTTCTCGGACGAAAAAAAGAAAAGAACGAACGAACAAGAAGAAAACCAAGGAACAAAAACTGACAAAGCAAAAGCACTTGCATGCGTCTCGGAAGAACTCACAAACCTAAAAAGCAAGCGAGAAAAAGAAAGAAGAAAACAAAATCCAGAATTTCTTAAGTTTTGCAGCACTGCAAATCGAAAATCAATGAACGCATCCGTCTCAGGCAGGACTTACGATCACTCACACAACCCAAGGCACGCAAGCAAGAATTCCCTGGCATTGAAAATTTGGAAAAAACTTACCAGGATTAAGTCGGGGCGCCCTGATCTAGCGAGCGATGCTTCCAGCAACCTATCCCTAGTTACTCTACAGGAATACCTGGGCATCAAACTAAAGTTTGCGACGTTGTCGCTCGATCGACATCGCGTTGCTCCTCGTCCCCATCCTCCTAGGGATTGCGCCGCGACGAAGCCAAGGCGCTGCGCCAAAGTCACGCCAACGTTTGGAAATAAGAACTAAAGAAACACACAACTAAGTAGCCCCAGTTTGCCGTACACGGATTTGGACCATTTGGTACGAATGTTATGCCCTAATGCAACCAAAAGGGTTGCATTACTTTGATCATTGGTTAAAATATAGTACACAACTCCTCATTATATCCAAAAACCTTGAGAACAAGCCTTTCAATCATCGTCGACCTTGTAGTCCTTGTCCAGGAATGTAACAAAGTCCGAAGGGCAGCCTTGCTTCTCGGCCTTCTCCCTCGCGAGCTTCTTTGCGTATTTGCTCACAATCTTACTGTCCACCAACACATGGATTCGCCGCGGATCCAACTCGCACAGCTTGCTGGTGATGCAATTCGGCTCGTCCGGCGGAGTCGCGCCCACCGCATTCGCCCTCTCCAAGAACATCTGGAACTCCTCTTGATCCTGGAACCGCAGCTTGAGCATCCTTCCCCTGTCTAGAAACGAGAGCACTACATTCTTGTTGTCAAACACTGGCCACGAGGAATCCGTCGCGAAATTCTTAGCCGCCGCGAGCAGCAGGCACCTGGAGTCGAGCGAGGAGCGACCCAGATCTCTGTGCCGCCATAGATTCTTCAGCAGGAGCGCCATCGCCGATCACGATGCCCTAATCCAATCCATCACGGCGGTGGATTCGAACCCAAATTCGGCGTAAAATGGTGGGGTTCAGGGTTTAGGGTTCTACCGAGCTATGGCGATTGGGGGCTTGGCGAGGGCGCTGTTGCGGCGGCGGGCGACGGGATTGGCGGTGGCCAAGCGATTCCAGGCAGGATATTGCAATGCGGCTGCTCAGGGCAAAGGATTTACGGCCCCTCCTCCTGAAGGCGCTCCATCTCCCCAGGGCCAGGGATTTCCTCCTCCTCAAGGCCAGGGAAATTTTTCTTCTCAGGGACAGGGTTTCGATCAAGGTGGCCAGGGCTTTGCGCCCCAGGGAGGAGAGGATTACGCCGAAGCGGAGGACTTCACCGATCCAAGCAACACTTCCTACGAAGATTACTCTCCCGGAGGACCGATCTACGACGCCGAGTACTCGTCTCCTCCTCCCTATCAATCCCAGCAGGAGCAGCAGCAGCAAGAGTACTACGTTCCTCCGCCGCCGCCACCGCCGCCACCGCCCAAGCCCAGATTTGACAACAAGAATGTGCCCATCACTCTGGTAAGCTTGGGTCGCGCGATGCAGCTCAAATTCCAGAACCAGAAGGAGTTCGAGAGCATGCTTGACAAGGCAAGTGCGTTTGGAGTGATGCTTCCGGACGAGCCGGGGAACATCACCCGCGAGCTCGCGGAGTTGGATCCCAAGAAGGTGTACGCGGTGGTGGACATGAAGGCGGTGCTCAAGAGCACGAAGAGGCTAGCGGAGGAGGAGGCGGAGCGCAGCGGCTACCCCAAGGATTTCATGCGGATGAGGAACAAGTATGGTAAGTATGATTCCGACGATGATTGACGATCGAGCGCACTTTGCTCTTGGCTAAATAGAAAGAAGTTCTTTGTTTACTCAAGAACCCTAATCTTGCTTTCTTCGATGGCCATGACGATGGCGATGACGATGGCGGCCTTTCTCGTCGTTTCTCTGGTACGCAGCGGGAAGATCGGATGATGTCTTGAGAATGTAGCTTGTGATCAGGTGTGGCGCTCCGGCCGCGCGCAAGATTACGAGAGTGAAGCGCTCTTTCTTCGCATCTTTTGCTTGTAACGCTGAAATATTTCGTGTTGCCCGTAGAGTTGGAGTTCCCGCAGGCAGTGTACACGGTCTCGATCGCGATCGCGGATGACGAGTGCAAGGCATCGTGCCGTGTGTTTCTTCGCTACAATGCCAGCGATTTCGAAAACGTTGTCCGGGAATTCCAACCTAGCGCGACGCTCGTCTTCGCAGGCCTCAAGCTGGGTCCCTACTGCCTCGATGTCAATTGCTCTTCTCCTGATAGTCCTCTCGGAGGTAAAGTTTTCTTCTTTTCCATGCATTCCAAATGCCTGGCATCCTATTCATTGAAGGTGGCGCTTTCTTAGTTTCTAGCAAGCATTTTCTCCTTGTTGATAGCATCGATGATTAACTGTAGCTTCGGCAGTCTCTCTGCCATTTTCGCTGTCTGCATCGCTGGTAGTTTCATTCTACAAAGATGGTAGAATTGCAATCTCTTGAATCATGATCTCCTAACTTCGTGCTTCAATGCCTGCATCATCCAGCGGTGCATTCTTGATATTGCTATCTTGTTTCAAATTCTCATCGAGAACTTTTGCAGTGTGCCAGGCCGAGCCACACGTTATCGAGTTCCAGGCAATGGATGAGGCTCCAAGTGGAGTCATATCAGTGGGCAGCCTGGGCCTGGCACTGACAAATTCTTCCAACGCCTTCGAGCCGCCGCAGAACACGCAGCAGCAGCAGCAGCCTTCGGCGACAGTGTCCAAATGGCAGACTTTAGCGATTGCTGGTATTTTGGCTCTACAGTGGATCGGGCTGCGAGTCATAACTGCTTTTACCAACAAATCTTCCAGCGGAACACATGTCTGTCCATCAAGACCAGCTGTCACTTGTTCCTCATGGTGGCAAAGGTAGGAGAGGATAGGAACGAAAGAGCAGGGATGATAATATTTGGGTGGGGGCCGGTTCTTCGAAACGAGCTCCAGGGGTAGACGGTGGGAATTACTTGTTTTCAAAGCCATGCAACCAATCGATCTCTTTGAGAAGCTCAAGGTTCACGCGGCTCTTGTGGTCTTGCAGCTTGGGTTTGCCGGGTTTGAGATACTGACCCGGAATCTTCTCATCGATGGCTTCAGTCCTTTTGTTTTCCCAGTATACAGGAACGCGATTGCTTTCCTGGTGCTGGCACCGCTTGCTTACTGGTTGGAGAGGTATATAGCTCACAGATTGGTGGTGCAAGCGTCAAAGAAGTTGCATTTCCTGCAGAAACGAGCGACCAAAGCTAGAGTGGGCACAACTTCCGATGTTTCTGTGTCTCGGGACGATCGGGTACACAGTGCTTCTTTGCTTTCTAGTGATATTCAAGCTTGTGTATTGATTGATGCAGGATCCTTGGCAACCAGATCAGCTATATATTGGGCCTGAGATACACATCGGCTTCCTTCACTTCAGCGTACAGGAACTCGATGCCTGTCTTCACTTTCCTAATATCTTACTTTATCGGGTATGCACGACACTATGATGTTGCTTATAATTCTTCCTTTTTGCAGAATAGAGCGAGTAAAGCTTAGAACTCGAGAAGGACAAGCTAAGATTCTTGGGACTACTTTCGGAGTTACTGGTGCACTGATAATGTCCCTCTACAGAGGAGCAGAGATCATACGGCCGCCTTCTCCAGGCAATCGCTTGCTCCATGGGTTTCACTTCAGCTCATGGAATCTAGGCGTTGTGATCCTGACGGCAGCGTTCCTGTCTTTTGCCATCTTCCTGATCTTACAGGTATTTAATTGTAGATCTTTGGTGATCTTAAAGCCGACGGTTCATGTCCACAACAGGCGCAACTCATGAAGACATTTCCTGCTCCGCTATCCATCGCTTCTATATCGATTGGCATCGGTTGCATTGAGCTCGCCATCCTGGCTCTTATGATCGATCGCAACTTCTCGAGGTGGAAGCTAAATTCAACGTCGGCCACCATTACAGTTGTATATGCTGTAAGTCGTTTGGATTTCCTCTTCTCTCCGCGGTTTGAGCTCTCTTTGTTTGTTTTCTTTGAAGGGTGTAGTCGCCTCGGGGCTGGTCTCTGCGATACAGTCGTGGGGAGTGAAACGATGCGGCCCAGTGACAGTAGCGGCGTATCAGCCCCTCGAGACAGTGGCTGTTGCAGTGCTGAGTTTTCTCTTCTTGAGAGAAGGATTTCGACTAGGAAGGTAAGACGCTGTTGGATACATGCAATCCAAGCCTGATAATTACATTTTGTTCGTTTTCGCAGCATGGTGGGAGCCGCAATCGTCGTCTCGGGCTTGTATTTATTGATATGGGGACAGTCCAAGGAAAAGAAAGATAACTCTTTGCAAAAGCCTCTGTTGCGCAAGGTAAGGAATTCACCAAAGCTTGTCAATTGGGAAGCACTGTTTTGCACAACAGGACAGTGCTGCCGAGGCCGCGTAGCCAAATCGAGGTGGCTGTCAACGAATAATTTATTTTTCGATGGAATCTTTGCAAGCCTGCTGTCATTCCATTGTTTGAATATTTTATCACCCTTGATTGAATCATGATGTCCCTTTCCTTTTATTTTAGAAAGCCGTCGTATGCTGGCTTAGAAAAATATGCAGCCTCCAAACTAATGAACAAAACGTATCTCAACAGAGGACGAGCTTGATAATTTATGAGCGAATTGCCCTACTGCAGGAAAAGAAGAGAACAAAGAAATAACGAACAAAAGGCTTAGAAAGTGAAAAATGTAAAGGAGATATCTCACAAACGATGCTTCGAGCTTTCTACGCCTTCTTTGGCCGAGCTGGTTCGTTCAGTGTCCCGCACATCCAGTCCATCCACACCGTATAGTGGCCGTAGTTGTGCTTGTAAGTCGTGTGATGGATGGTGTGGTATGCGGCTCCCATTATCGGCCACACTTTCCCATCGATGCAATCGTGGATGTTGGTCGTCCAGATGCCTTCGAGGAACAAGAAAAACTCGTGAGTGAAGAAATGCATCGGTATCACGAACAGCGCCAGGACGTGCGGTAGCGCTTGCAAAATCCCGTCGATCGGGTGGAACGCCAGCCCTGTTTGGAGTAGTAATCACAGACTCATCAGACAGCTATACTCGAGAGATTGCTAGCTAGCTTTGCATCTATACTCGAGATATTGCTTTGCATCTAGATACTCAAGAGATTGCTAGCTAACTTTGCAAAGAAGAAAGTTTTTCTTACCCGCGAATGGCGACAGTGTGTCCTGCTTGTTGTAAATGTGATGCGTCGCGTGGAGTAGCTTGTAGAGAGGCTTGATGTCGTGAAGACCACGGTGCATCCAGTAGATGCCAAACTCCACCATCACCAAGTACGTGAGCGACAGGACAATGTAGGTGGGGAAGCCGACGTCGCTAATTCGAGGGAAGCATTTGGTCCAGCCTCTCTCCACCATGTACTCGGACACCGTCGGGAGCAGCGTGTAGAGTGGCATCGCCTTCATCGAGACTTTGATCTGGAGCCATATTGGCTCCTGCTTTGGAATTCCTCCTGCAAGAACAATGCTCAATGTTAGAAAGAAAAAAAATCCCAATCTAGAATGATAGAGAGAGGGTTCTAAGACTCGATTTCTATGAATCACGGACTAGCAAGCCCAAAATCCTGCCTCTAGCTCAAGGAAGCTTAAGAGTCTTGGAAATTTCCAGGAATTCTTGGATCTAGGACGCATGAATTTCAAGAAAGATCCTAGGATGAGAAGCCTAGATCAGGGCCTTACCAGGAACAAATCATACCGTTTGGGAAATAGATCCGGGGCTTCCACCAGTAAATGTAGAGGCACCAGAGGCCGCCCGAGAGGAAGTAGACGATGAGCCCCGCGATGTAGTTGCGAAGCCATGTCCGGAGAGCATGCGGCATGGAATCGAAGTGGAGAGCCAGCGGTCGCAGCACCAGATGATTGTACCAGGCCGTCTCCTCCAAGAACAATCGCAGCCGGGCTTGGTCGATGCTCCCGCCGCCGCCGCCGCCGCCGCTCCATGTGTGATTGCTTGCGGAAGCTGCGAAGACGAAGGAGGACAGGATCGCGAGGGAGAGAAGGGGCAGCGCCATCATCGCGATCGCGGTGGCGGCCAGAGAAGAAAAGATCGTGTATTTACAGACCTAAGAGGGAGAGCGTGAGGGAGAGAGAACAAAACAGAGAGATCTCTGCCTTAATGCCCATTGGGGCATTTAACCTATGGGCTTCTGGCATTTGGGCAGTTGTCCTATTTCTAGGGTTTTACAAGGGCTTCAAATTTCTTGGCCATGGCCGAGGGCGGAGGAGGAGGCGCCAAGGCGATGGATTACTACAAATCACTCCAGCCGACCCAGCTCATCGCGGAGCGAGGCCTGGAGCTCGTCGTGATCAATCCAGGTGTGGAAAAATTTCCAGATTCATTTGCAGCATTGACCGGAATCTGGATTCTGCGCTGTAGGATCGTCCAATCTTCGCGTCGGGCTGGGATCGTGGCAAGATCCGGTCGTAGTGCCGCATTGTGTTGCCTGGCATTCTGCGGGAAACGGAAAATGTGAGGATTCTGGGACTAGAAATGGGGCTATAGGTGAACAAATGGTATGCAGCCGCACTATTTTACCTTCGCATTTTCTTGGTTTCATGCTAATTGCTGATAACAGGCCACTCTACCAGTTTTACGAAGAGATCGAGAAGAGATGTGCCTTAAGGTGACTCGTTTGAAGCCGTTCGACTTCTAAACAAAATGGAATCCTCTCTCCAGGTTGAAGCCTTGTTAGGAGTTCCTGGCAATGACACAAATGGCATGGATGTCTCGAAGGTAGTTTACTCTTTTTCATGGTTTGACAACTAAGATTTGTGCTTTACTTTAGGAAGAGGTTGTTCGAGGAGGCTATGTAAAATGTGAGCAAGAAAAGAAGTTGGAGCTGCCATGGACACAAGTAATGGAACGAGGTATGCAAAGGGGTAGTATTCACGAGAAATTTGACGTCTCTGTTTGAAGTGTGCTTCATCTGTCTCTGTAGCTAACGATGAATGCGCCCCTGTTTATCGCCGCTGTATATGTGGAGAGGAGGCCTTAAGGATCCCAGCTTCTCAGCCTTATGTGCTGAGAAGGCCAATGTGCAGGGGTCGCTTGAATGTTTCGCCACAGTATCCCATGCAACAGGTAAATTTACAACTACGATCTCTGTGCTTTACTTAAAATATTTATAGGTTTGCGACGATATGTATGCTATTTGGAACTGGGTACTGGCAGAAAAGATGTTAATTAGCAAGGCGGGACGACGGAACTTATCTGCGGTTCTCGTTGTTCCTGATACTTTTGACAATAGAGGTTTGTCTAATCAGAAGGAGCGCCAAATGCTTACTAACTTACTTGCAGAAGTTAAGGAGGTAGTCTCGGTTCTACTGAGGGATTTAGAGTTCCACTCTGTAGTTGTACATCAGGTACCTCTTCTTCAGCTTCCTTACGCTTTAGTTTGATGTCGTTTAAGTGTAGGAATGCGTTTCAGCTACATTTGGAAATGGCGTTTCATCGGCATGCGTAGTTCAAATGGGGGCTCAAGTTACTTCTATAATCTGCGTTGAGGCAAGGCTGCGTAAATGTTTCGTCGCTGTTTTAACTTCAATTGTTTTCTACCGTTAGGACGGCGTGTCTATATCAGTCTCTCAGAAAATTCTTCCATATGGTGGAGAGGTACATCATGTGAGTTCACGTGCTTTTCTAACTTCATGTGAACTGTAGGACATATCAAGATGTCTTTTATGGGTCCAACAACGGTACGGGAACTGGCCCCTCCTAAAAACCGATCCATTGACAAATTCTTTGGACATGACAATGCTTGATCGTCTAAAGCAAGCTCACTGTGCTTTAAGTGTAAGTCTTTCCCGACTGTCTCGCATTGACTGTATGCGCAGGTTGGAGGTGATCTCACTGCAACGGCAGATGTGTTTTCTTGCACCCCTGGCGAGTCCGATCTTTACAAAGTCACTTTAGTCGCACTCAATGTAAGAATTTGCTTCAAGTTTTTCGTCTCTGATGGTTTACGAACAGGTGCCACCTGCTGGCCTGTTTTATCCGTCACTCCTTACACCCGAGGAACGTATGTTTCCACCGAGGTCTTGGTAAGCTTTAAGGGAGACCATCAACCAAAGCTAGAGAAATAATGTAGGTACTATTCTGATCACGAAGACATGCTAGTGGACCCGGTGGAGGCAGGAATGACGGCCTTCAGCAATGAACAATTTACGAACGGTCATAGCTCTGCACTTTCTCCTTCTGGCAATTCTCTTCTAGGACTACATGAAGCCATTGTCAGCAGTGTCCTATCAATGGGTAACTATAGTCATAGTCTTCAGTCGCATTAAGCATTGCCAGTATTTTACAGGTCGCTTGGATTTAAAGATGAAGTTTTTCTCAAGTATCCTCCTGGTAAGCCTTCCGTTTTTTTTCTAATCGAGCATGAGTCAGTTGCCTTACAGGTTGGAGGAGTAGCCTCTACACCAGGCATTGCCGAATTTATTGAAGATAAGTGCGTATTTCGATTCGTTTTATCAATCCCTTATGTTTGTACCACGCAGAATTGTCCACACAGTTTCTCACCAGGAAGGGATTGATAAAGTTGAGGTAACCAGAGTCGAAACCAATTCAGGTCCTCACACTATAAAAAATTTTCGTGTAGGTGCTATCAAATCGAGCTGATCCTTCCATACTTTCTTGGAAAGGAGGAGTGGTAAAAGAATTTGGCAAATGTTTGTCTGAGCCTCAATGGTTTGTGCTATAGGTGCTGGGAGTTTTGGACTTCTCTCGGGAGTCTTGGATTCAGCGCAGTGACTGGATTGACGGCGGGCTACGCGTGGGTTCCTCGAAGAAATACAAAGATTCTCTGTCGCTTCATGCCCAGGCTTTTTGGTACAACGCTGTTCTCGAGTGAGTTAAAAAGTTCCACCTGCGTTTCTGCCGGGAGCTATTAAACACGAAATATTGATCTTTCCAGCTGGCCGATTTTGCTTATTCATTTGGAAAGCCATGGTCCTTTCTGGATTGTAGTAGATCTGAAAGGCGTGAAGAAAGATCTAGGATCCGGGCTGAAGCAGGAGATGATGAAAGCTGTGAAGCAAGGATAGAATGGGAGTGATCAGGAAATTTGCCTGTTTTTGAGCTGCTCAAGCTTCCATGCTAGCACTCTACCTGTCGTATGATTGGATAGAAGATAAGGAGATAGGGTTCCAGAGAAGTTTCTCCAAGATTTGGTGAAGTATCTAAAGGAAAGCGATGAGACAACAAGAAGAGCAATCAAGATAAGCATTAGCTTCTCTCCTTGTCCCCAGAGCTTCTTTCTACTTGTATGGGATTGCCATTTTTTTATTTCCTCCTTGATTTATGTTTGTGAGAAAACATTACAGACACTTCTTACATATATCCCTGTGAATCCTTAAGATTCTCAAGAAAAAAAACATTAATTAATGAATCTTCTGACAAGAAGCTTTTTATTTGGATAATGTGTGTAGAAAAAATAACTTTCTCTTCTCTTCTTGTCATATTTAGTGAAGAGAGGTTTAAATTGAAACTTTTTTTTCTTCCAAAAACTTAAAAATGTAAAGACAAAAAAAAAGGGATAATAACAATCATAATACAAGTAAAAATTATATGACTTATTTTTTATTTTTTTATTTTTTTGTTTA